CCATCCTGCTGTTTTTTGCAGCTTGCCTTTCCAGACACAAACAGTCTTGTTTTCTGATATAGACACACTAACATGGCTAGACCAGAGATAGCAGAGTACGCAAACCCACTGCAGCCCTTCCCCCTTATGTGAATAATATTGGAATCTAGCAAAACACTACAGTTTGGTGACACCGGCACACACTAAACTTCTCACTAACAGGTCCATTTGAGGTCTTCTAATATGGTACACTACACCCTGTAGAGAGGAGAGCTCACCTCAACCACAATGTTCCTGATTGCTTGTCCTATGTACGGTCTAGACCAGCCATTCTTAACTAGGCTTCCTCGGGGTTCCCTGAACTACGGCTGATTGATCATCCATCTGATGGTGCCTTCATAGCTCCAGAGCCAGTGCCGCTTGGTAGAGCCAGCAGTATGACACTAACGATCTTTGTAGTTGTCTGTAACGGTGGCATTCTAACCATCAAAGTTATGGGGGCATTCTTCCTAATAACCAGCAATAGAAGGGGCATTTTTCCAACTGGCTTTGTTTTAGCAGGGGTTCCTGAGACCTGAAAATTATCTCAAGGGTACTTCTGGGGTAAAAAAGGTCGAGAGAGGATGCACTCGACCCCTTCCATGTAGCCAGTGAGTTCAAAGAGATCCGGTCATGATTGGGATAATGCAAGCCGGATAAAAGGTTTATATCTGCCCTAATCTGGAATATCGCTTATTGTTTAGAGCCTGAATATTTACCGTGGAGCTTAGACAGATATGTAGAGTGTGCTGTTCCCAAGCCCTAGGTTGGGTCAAGTTAGGCCTAAAGACCTGGATGCTAAACACTGGTGGGGGCTCATCCTTTGCCCAATAAATATAGGAAAATAAAAGGTCAAGCTGCACCGGAGAAACGTTCAAACGCTGATAGTTTTTATTGTTCTGGAATACAAGTAAAGAGTCCCTGGCTGGGCCTTCATGCCAGGCAACAATAAAGTTGTCAATGTTTGAACCTTCCTAGAGTGCTGCTGCCTTTTTTTTCCTTCTTCAGCTTAAGGATCAAGGATAAGAGGTCTCCTGAAGTCTCACTTTTTTTTTTTTTTTTGTTTTTTTTTTTTTGTTTTGTTTTTTTACATCCATCGGCCAGAGCTTGTATTCTGACTCCCAGCTTCTAAGCATACATAACATTATGAAATTACATCATTAAAAGGAATTTGAACAAAAAAAAAACTACAGTACTCAGCTATTGGATCCTGTAATGCATGTTTAGGAGCTGAGAGAATGAGGTTGGGCAGATGGCTGAAAACGGCCCTTTAGGCTTCAGACGACTTCTAGCCACTGATTTTTTATTTTTTTTTCCTTACAGCTGAGATGCAAAGTAAAGAAAGCAGCAGCTCTAAATATTGCATTCATAAACTCACTCAGTTCTAATCCTTTTATTTTGAAAGGACGCACACAGCTTTTGGTTGGCTGGTTTTGTCGTTGCTGTCAGTGTCTGCCAGCGTGTAATTCTTGGCTTCTTAAGGAAGGATTCTGATAAGTAATATTTGCCTTAAAACTTTCCATATAACACTGGCCATGTATACCCCCCCCCCTCTCATAACTGCATAGCGCTGTCATCACTTTGCTGGGTGCTACATGGGTTTCACTGTCATGTGATCATGTGACTGGGAGCCTGGCCTCCCAGTTCCTGATCATTGCTAGGTGGCCGTGAGCTATCGGTGGGGACACACAATTGAGAGCGCTCCCTACAGAAGAGGTACACATATGTGACAGGACGATGTTCAGGCCCATCTTCATTCCTATATATATATATATATGTATGTGTGTATGTATATATGTGTGTATATATATATATATATATACACACACACACACACACGTAATGACAGGAAGGGGTTAAAGAACGAACAACCTTTTTTCTGTGAAAAGTCACTTGAAATGAAACTCCATTCTCAGTACCACCTAGGGCCGCTTTACAGTATATATGGTGAGGGTTCCAGAATCCTTGCCTGCCTTTGACATGTAGATATGCAGACAGCGCCAAGTGAAGGACTTTGGGGGAGAGTAAACTAGAGCACCGGTGTAGCTGTGCATGGGAGCCAATCAGATTCGAATTTCAGCTTGTTCAGTTAAGTTTTGACAATAAAGCCGGGCAGCCTATTGGTTTCTATGCAGACCTGCATCCGATTTTGCACCATGCCGTTTCGGTACATAACCCCCATCGTCTTGACTGTATTCCCCATGCTTATCTCCAGTGTTGTCATAGAAGCACTAAACTCACCAGCATCCTTCTAGATGTTTAGCACTGTGCTAAGTAGCTCACCAAAGATGACGTTTCAGTGCAGTAAACCTCAAGTCTGGGGATGCCATATTACAGCAATACCTGTAATTGGACTGTTGGCTCGTGGGAAAGGCAGGGAGCCAGTGACAAGAACAGGTGAGGCTGAGCTCTTCACCAAATGGTTTTATAGAAATCCTGTCTACAAACTAAATACTGTTATCATGGTTGCAAGAATGGGAGTGGTTCATTTAATTGAAATTTAAAGGTCGTTTTGTGGACATTTAAAGTGGAGTTCCACTCACTCTGTAAAAAAATAAAAGTCAGCAGCTGTAAAAACTTTTAAAAAACAGCCACTTACCTGTTCAACGATCCCACGTTGCCCCCGCCGCAGCCAGCCAGCCGTCCTGTATTCCAGGTGTCTGCATTTTCAATGTGGGCACCCGGCTTTGACAGCTTGCGGCTTCACAGCCAGGTGCCCACTGCGCATGCGCAAGTATCGCTGCGCTTCATGAATGGCCCTGTAGTGTTCTGGGACCTGTCATGTGTCCCACAAGACTTCGGGGAGGGACGGTAGGAGGACAACATGCGGAAGTGGGAGCGGGTACCTGTCAAATTCGGGTACCTGTCCCCCACCCTTCGCTCTCCAAAGGTGCCAATCCTTACTGGGGAGCGGGGGACCAATCTTTAAAGCGGAACTTTTCTTTTTGGGTGGAACTCCGCTTTAATGACTTGGGAACAGTATGTATGTTCCGAGAAGATTGAGACTGGAGTTCTTCTTTAATGTGGTCCCTATTGCCTCTTATGGGCAGTTACTAGGCATTGGAGCCAGGGTCAGGAGGGGTAGGGGTGATAGCCTCAGAGCAAGTCAGCAATGGCAGCTTACACATTTCTGTTCTGACAAGTTACCTTTAAAACTAAACTCCAGGCAAACTGCTAGATACACAAATTGACTTTATATAAGAGCCCAAATCTTTGTATTTCTGTCCATCCAATCCCGAGGTTTACACGGCTCTACCACATAGCACAGTCCTGCCTGGCAGGGGAGGAGAACCAGTTGTTTTTTTGTTTTTGTTTTCCTCCTCTGCAGTCCAGTAACACAGCTCTTGTCCCTGCCCCAGCCTGTTATGGGAAAGTGAAGCAGCAGACTAACAAGCCCATCTCTCTAGCTGCTCTATCCTCCTTTCAGATCACCGGATGGGCTCCATGTGCTGCTTCTTCCTCTACCAGTCTGAGCCTTGCTGTACAGGGGACTGCAGGAGGCAGAAATAGATTAAATTCCGGTACTCACACTGTTTGCATTTAAAGATGCATTGATGAATGCAGCGATATATTCCTTTGTGTCTTTTATACCTGCCTGGAGTTGAGCTGTGAACTCTAAATGATGATTGTGGGATAAAGTCAAATCACCAGTTCTTCTAAATGACAGAAATTGGGAAGAGTTGAAAAATCTCTTGTGTTGATATTGTGTAAAAAATACAGGTTCAAGTGGACCTGTCTCCTACGTAAGATAGTGGAGTATGTTTTTGTGGGTAGAACCTGTAATTAAGGCAGGGCAGCTCGTCATTTCATTGGGAATGCTACAATCGTGTTGTAAATCAATTGACATAATTGTTGGCTCCACACCACCTAGAGCCATCGTACCTCCTCTGACTGGCAGCATACCCCTGATAGGTACTTTAGTATGTTGGTACTGAGATTATGTCTTTTTTTTTTTACTTTGTAGGCCACGAGGATCGATGAAATACATTTCTCGTGTTCAGCTGCTAAATTTTCTGTTTTTCTCCAATTTTATAAAAGCTTGACATGGCCAAGCTTGTGTGTCAGAATGTGACGTTTTTTTTTTTTTTTTTCTTTTTTTAATTTTTGAAAGTAGTTATGGATATATTACAACTGTTAACAAAAATAATGCATGCGCTGCTCACAAGCCCAGAAACCGGGCCACCAGAAACACTAGGTGCCAGAAACCAGGTAGGGGCTTGTCCTATGCCCCACATGCCCAAATGGTCCAAGGAAAAAAAAAAAAGGCCAGCGACACTATTAATATTTAATGCTGATAACTTTATTGATTCTAGACAATAGGGCAAGGAGTCTCCACTTGGGACCTCTTCCTCTGGCAAGCTACACCTACTAGACTGAGCTTCATCATAAAGGTGGTCTTCTTGTCCCTTTTTGTCTGAATCAATAAGGTTGCCAGTGTTGAATTTTATTGCTGGCTTTATGTTTTGTCTTGGAAAGTATTTGTCATGTCTGGGTCCCTTGCTGCCTGCCTTGGAGACAGGGATCACTGTAGCAGGCAATGAGGGATCCCCTACCTTTTGGTGGCACAGCAGTAAAAATTGAAAATCAAAACCAAAAAAAGGTTTTTCCCTGGAGAATCCCTCTGACAGTGTAGATTGGTGGGGGCCAGTGTATTAGAGAGAAGAGGGCCCCAACTCCGGTCCCCCTGACTTCTCAAGGCGGCCACACATTTGTGTGTGTGTGTGTGTGTGTGTGTGTATAAATATATATATATATACACACATACACACAGAATATTGTTGGAGACTGAGGACAGGCTACAAGAGGTGGTCAGAGATTGGGGACCTACTACAGGAGGTAGGCAGAGACTAGGGGACATCCTGAAGGAGGTGGTCAGAAACTGGGGACATGCTGCAGGAGGTGGTCAGGGTCTGGGGATATGGTGCAGGAGGTGGTCAAAGACTGGGGAACATCCTGAAGGAGGTGGCCAGAGACTAGGGGCATGCAGCAGGAGGTGGTCAGAGACTGGGGAACATCCTGAAGAAGGTGGTCAGAGACTGGGGACATGCTGCAGGAGGTGGTCAGAGACTGGGGAACATCCTGAAGGAGGTGGTCAGAGACTGGGGACATGCTGCAGGAGGTGGTCAGAGACTGGGGACATGCTGCAGGAGGTGGTCAGAGACTGGGGACATGCTGCAGGAGGTGGTCAGAGAATGGGGACATGCTGCAGGAGGTGGTCAGAGACTGGGGAACATCCTGAAGGAGGTGGCCAGAGACTAGGGACATGCTGCAGGAGGTGGTCAGAGACTGGGGAGCATCCTGAAGGAGGTGGTCAGAGACTGGGGACATGCTGCAGGAGGTGGTCAGAGACTGGGGAACATCCTGAAGGAGGTGGTCAGAGACTAGGGATATGCTGCAGGAGGTGGTCAGAGACTGGGGACATGCTGCATGAGACTGCTAGAGATCACTGCCAATACAGCCTCTTTATTTGTTAATGATCCCACACCCAGTACAGGTTGCTGTGGCTCCAGGGCAATACAATATGCACCAAAGGGCCATAGGATGGGCACAAAGGGTGTAGAGCTTCTCTGCAAAAGTTTTCAATGGAAAAACAAGCTGAAGCTTTAGAATTTGCCCATATTGTCTGCAAAACACGTTTTTTGAAATGTATTATTAGATACATTGCTCAAAGCAGCTTCAACTGTAGGCACACCTGTCGACGAATACTACCTTGAAACATAATGGTGGTATGTTAGGTTTTTACTTTTTTTTTCCTCTATGTACGGTTTAATAGGGGGTGACATGGACCTTTTGAGAGATGTGATGGTACACTATTTGGATGAACAGGTACAGGACAGCGTGCCCAGATAAGATTGCGGTTTGCACATCTGAACGGTTTTGTGGGAACTCCTCGCTCTCTGCTCTTGAGTTGAACCGATCTCACATGACTTCATGCACCAGTCTGAATATTCACATTTTAGGTATTGTACCTGGGCAGACTTACTGATGAAATATTTATATTTGTGCTCCCCTCACGTAGTTATACTTTGGGTGACCCTGACACTTCAGCTTGAGATTTAACGTGGATAAAGTCGTAAAATTAAAATGAATGCGGGGTCCGGGGAGAGCGGATATAGTGAATGCGGGGTCCGGGGACAGCGGATATAGTGAATGCGGGGATCTGGGAGAGCGGATATAGTGAATGCAGGGTCCAGGGGGAACCAGATATAGTGAATGCAGGGTCCGGGGGGACCGGATATAGTGGATGCTGGGTCCGGGAGAGCGGATATAGTGGATGCAGGGTCCAGGGAGAGCGGATATAGTGAATGCGGGGAGAGCGGATATAGCGAATGCGGGGTCCGGGGGGACCGGATATAGTGGATGCAGGGTCCGGGAGAGCGGATATAGTGGATGCAGGGTCCGGGGAGAGCGGATATAGTGGATGCAGGGTCCGGGAGAGTGGATATAGTGAATGCAGGGTCCGTGGAGAGCGGATATAGTGAATGCAGGGTCCGGGAGAGTGGATATAGTGAATGCAGGGTCCGTGGAGAGCGGATATAGTGAATGCAGGGTCCGTGGAGAGTGGATATAGTGAATGCAGGGTCCGGGGAGAGCGGCGGCTATAGTGGATGCGGGGTCCAGGGAGACCAGATATAGTGAATGCAGGGTCCGGGGAGACCAGATATAGTGAATGCAGGGTCCGGGGGGGGGGGGGGGGGACCAGATATAGTGGATGCAGGGTCCATGGGGGGACCAGATATAGTGGATGCAGGGTCCGGGGGGGACCAGATATAGTGAATGCAGGGTCCGGGGGGGACCAGATATAGTGGATGCATGGTCCGGGGTTTATTAACATTTTAAGATCCTCAGAAAAAGGTTGAATTTGATGACTGAATAAAGAGGCAAATAAAGATTGTTCATCTAAGCCTGCAGAAGTACATGGATTTGGGATCATGGGGTCTGTATATAAAACGTATGCAAACATTCACACAATCAGGGCAAAAAAATTGCTGTACTTCTATTATATATGATTCCCTACATCGTCCGCACCTTCTAGCGGCCACAATGTTTGTTTTTTGGGTTTTTTTTTTTCCTGATTGAGGTATTTCTGGAAAAGGCTTTATGGCCATTAGATGGCTCTGACGATCTAGGCATCACACATAATAGAGGAGGTACGGCAATTTTTGCCCTGATTGTGCAACTGTTGTGACATCAACAAACGTTTTATATATAGACCTGTGAGTATTCAGATTCTTGCATAAGCATTCATTGTGACTGGTTCTCATTAATTCACAGATATCTGGCAACAACAATGAGCATACTTTCAATTTTGTTCTCCGCCTGGAGTTCCACCTTTAATACACATTTAAAGGTTCTACTCACAAAATAGCTACTTCGGGTTGCAGATATGCAACAGGTACTCTTTTGAGAGCGCATAATCAGTCCGTCATTTCAATTTGATGCTTAATTTACATTTTTTTTTAATTTTTTGACAAGGGCGTGGTATGCTTTTAATTCTGCTCTATGTATGTATACATATATATATAATAAATATATATATATACTATTAGTGTATATATTACTCCCATTAAAACACTATATATATTTCTCCCGATTTAAGTAATCCTTTTTTTTTTTTTTTTGTTTTTAATTTATTTTTCTACTGTGTAATAGTGATAATAGGTACCTTTTTTCTGAAGCTGTTTTTATTTTATCTAAAGGTTTTCTGTTTGTTTATTTTGCATTTGTAAAACCGTATTTACCTTTAAAATCTATTTGCCTAAAGTATATCTTTAAATTATTTATTATACGAAAAAAAATTGTTGGATCGGTTTTTAGATACAAAAACAGTAAAAAAAAAAAACAAACAAAAAAAAACGGAGGGAAAAAAAAAGAGGTTTTTTTCCTCTCCGAAACACAAAAAATGTATTGTTTAACAAGAATAAAAACACTTAACTAAGCCTTTTTCTCCTGTGTGCTGTGTTTTTCTTTATTATCGTGTTAGATGTGGATTTTGGGTGTCGGAATACAGACAGAATTTAGGTCGCCATTTACACGGGCGTTTTGCCACGCTACAAACCACATCAGCAGGAATCTGCTGCTGGGATGGACAGCTGCGTGCAGTAAGCAGCGACGGCCGAGCCCATATGCTGCATTGACAGCTTGTAGGCGGCCATGGATAAGGGGGTACCACCAGTCCTACTGTACGGGGCCCAGGCCTGCAGGGGGGCCCAGGCAGCTGGGTGAATTGGATATGGGCAGGAAGTGTGAACAGGGCAATTACTGGAACCGATCCCCTGCATGCTCTTTGCAGCAGCTGAAAGCTGGGTTTTTCTCCTCTCCCCCCCCCCCCCCCCCGCTGGCTTTCAGCTGCTGCAGAGAGAAACATGCAGGGGATTAGTTCCAGTAATATGCCAGCCCATTCCTGAATGGACCCAATGAGTGATCGGTACCGATCACTCGCTGTGTTCATAACTGAAGCCTAGTAAACTGTTTTGTTTGTGGGGGGGCCTGTTAGATTGGCTGTATGGGGCCCTTTGGTTTTGGGGGGGCCCTGTGGTTTCTAATACCAGCCCTGGTAGGCAGCCATAGCTATTCATGCCCGTTCACACAGCCAGCAATCACTGCAAGTGAAACTGCTTTCATTGGTGGGTTTCAGGCTGGAGGAGTGAGCAATCCTAGGCAGGCTATATTTGCATGCAGACCACCCTAGGTAACACCCACAGGTGATGCTGAGCCTCCATGATTGAAAGAACTGAAATTCAAAAAATTGAATATGAGAGGGAAAGTCAGGCTGGGGAGGAAAGCGCTAGATGATGCTGGACGGAAATGAGGCTCCTCTGACTTCTAATGCACATTGTGAGAAGCTCAGAGTGGTGTATGTTACATACTCCTGACCTCTGCACTCTGAAAAAATAAGTTGTACTTAACTCACAGGTCAGCGGTATGTAAGAAAAAAAAAATGCAGAGATCAGTAGTAAGCAATGCAAAGGTCAGTAGTATGCAACGAAGAGTGCGAGGGTCAGTAGTATGCAACGAAGAGTGCGAGGGTCAGTAGTATGCAACGAAGAGTGCGAGGGTCAGTAGTATGCAACGAAGAGTGCGAGGGTCAGTAGTATGCAACGAAGAGTGCGAGGGACAGTGGTAACTAACAATGAGCTCAGATGTCAGTAGTATTTGCAGGGGTCAGAAGTAAGTAGCCCAGAGGGCAGTAGCTTATAACAGAGTGCAGGGGTCAGGAGTGAGTGCTAAGACCCCCAGCATCACAGGAGGAAGGAAGTGTTATTTCCCCTGTCCAGACCTGCAGCCTGCTCTGCCTCTCAGCTCTTAACTTTCGCCTGCCTGGAGCTGAAAGGTACAGGGCTACCGAAAGGGATGCTCTAATGGGGTATCTGATTTAAGGGGGGCCGCTGTGATGGCACCTGCTGAAAATGGGGGTGGGGGAACTGTGATGGGGATACCTGATGTAAGGGGGTGCTCTGATAGGGGCATAATATTTATAGGGGGTTGTTGTGACACCTGCTGTAAGGGGGGGCACTATGATGGGGATATCTGATATAAGAGGAACCGCTGTGATGAGGACACATGCTGATAGTGGGGCACTATGACATGGACACCTAATTTAGAGGAGCAATGTGATGGGGACACCTGATTTAAGGATAGAAACATTTACTGAAAGGGGGGATGCTGTGAAAAGGACATCTGCTGTAATGGGGGGGGGGGGTGGTGGGGGGTGGCGGGCGCGGAACTATGATGGGGACAGCAGGTGTAAGGGGAACCGCTGTGATGAAGACACCTGCTGAAAAGGGGGAGGCACTATGATTGGGACACCTGATTTAAGGGGGGGCAATGTGATGGGGACACCTGATTTATGGAGGCACTCTGATGTGATGTGGTGATGGGGACACCTGCTGGAAAGGGGGAGGGAGGGTACTATGAATGGGACACCTGAGTTAAGGGGGGCAATATGATGGGGACACCTGATTTAAGAAGGTGCTCTGATGGAGATATCTAATGTAGGGGGGCAATGTGATGGGGACACCTGATTTAAGGGGGGGGGGGCATTGTGAAGGGGACACCTGATTTAGGAAGACACTCTGATGGAGACATCTAAAGTAGGGGGCACTATGATGGGGACACATGATTTAAGGGGGGGCAATGTGATTGGGACACCTGATTTTGGAAGGCGCTTTGTTGGAGACATCTAATGTAAGGAGGCTGCTGTGGTGGGGACACCTGCTGTGAGGTGTGGAGGCACTATGATGGGGACACCTTATGTATGGTGGATCTCTGATGGGGACACCTGTTGTAAAGGGGTGATGTGACTGGGACACTTTCTGTATCGGAACTTTGTAATAGTGGCATTCTGATGAGGACATCTGATGTAAGGGGGCGATGAGATGGTGACACCTTATATATAGGGGATCTCTACTAGGGACACCTGATGTAAGGGGGGGATGTGATAGGGGCATCTGAGAGAGGCCAGAAGGGAACTTCTTGAGGACGTGCATCGCATAAAATGCATTGAGGCTGAGCCGCTCAGGTCATTTTCGGTTGCTGGAACGCACGCCGGCTGCAAGACTGGTGGCGGGAAAGGTTCCTTCTGGTGGGCTGCACATGGTGGTGCCCTTCTTGGCTCCAGATGCATGTGAGTGCATATACAGTACATGTTTTTATTGTGTTTCTTATATAAATATACTGCACTATATACATTTCCTTCTGTCTTCTCTCTCACAACAATTAGTAACACTGGAAGGGGCTTATTAATGAATGCTTGTGAGAACTTTTTTTGGAGAATCCGCAAGTAAACGTCTAATTGGGGCTGATTGGAGGATCTATCATCCAAGGCACACTGACCACTTGGTGGAGGATATCTGGTGAGAGAACAATTCAGCTGAGTACGTGGTGGAATATTAAGAAGATTTGGTCACTCCATTTCTGAGTGTGTACACACAATTATTTGGTGGATGGGGACTTTTCTATTCAATATTATTTGAAGTTTATGATCACTATTGTATTCATGTATTTATTTATTTGTTATGTTAAGGGGGAGTGCCCACTGTTATTGTTTATATGTAGTCTCTGATGGGGGCATCTAAAGTAAGGGGGTAAAGTGATGGATATACCTGATGTAAGGGGGCACTCTGATGGGGACAACAGCTGTAAGAGAACCACTGTGATGGGGACACTTAATGTAAGGAGGCACTCTGATAGGGACATTTGATATAAGGGGGTATTGTTTTGGGGACACTTGATGTATGGGGGATCTCTGACGGGGACACTTAATATAAGGGGCACTGATGTGGACACTTGATGTATGGGGGATCTCTGACGGGGACACTTAATGTAAGGGGGCACTCTGATAGGGACATTTGATATAAGGGGGTACTGATGGGGACACATGATGTATGGCTCATCTCTGATGGGGACACTTAATATAAGTGGGCACTCTGATGGGGACACTCAATGTATGGAGGATCTCTGACGGGGGCACTCTGATGGGGACACTTAATGTAAGGGGGCACTCTAATGGGGACACTTGATATAAGGGGGCACTCTGATGGGAACACTTGATGTATGGGGGACCTCTGATGGGACACGATGTATGGGGGATCTCTGAGGGGACACTTGGTATAAGGGGGCACTCTGATGGGGACACGTGATGTATGGGGGATCTCTGATGGGATACTTGATGTATGGGGGATCTCTGATGGGGACACGATGTAAGGGGCACTCTGATGGGATACTTGATGTATGGGGGATCTCTGATGGGACAGTCGATGTATGGGGGATCTCTGACGGGGGAACTCTGATGGGGACAGTTGATGTATGGGGGATCTCTGACAAGGACACTTGATATAAGGAGGCACTCTGATAGGGACACTCGATGTATGGGGCACTCTGATGGGGACACTTGATGTATGGGGAATCTCTGACGGGGACACTTGATGTATGGGGAATCTCTGATGGGATACTTGATGTATGGGGATCTCTGATGGGATACTTGATGTATGGGGATCTCTGATGGGACACTTGATGTATGGGGGATCTCTGATGGGGACACGTGATGTATGGGGGATCTCTGATGGGACACTTGATGTATGGGGGATCTCTGATGGGGACACGATGTAAGGGGCACTCTGATGGGATACTTGATGTATGGGGGATCTCTGATGGGACAGTCGATGTATGGGGGATCTCTGACGGGGGAACTCTGATGGGGACAGTTGATGTATGGGGGATCTCTGACGAGGACACTTGATATAAGGAGGCACTCTGATAGGGACACTCGATGTATGGGGCACTCTGATGGGGACACTTGATGTATGGGGAATCTCTGACGGGGACACTTGATGTATGGGGAATCTCTGATGGGATACTTGATGTATGGGGATCTCTGATGGGATACTTGATGTATGGGGGATCTCTGATGGGACACTTGATATAAGGGGGCACTCTGATGGGATACTTGTTATAAGGGGGCACTCTGATGGGGACACTTGATGTATGGGGGATCTCTGATGGGGACACTTGATGTATGGGGGATCTCTGATGGGGACACTTGATGTATGGGGGATCTCTGACTGGGACACTTGATATAAGGGGACACTCTGATGGGGACACCTGATGTATGGAAGATCTCTGATGTGGACAATCAATATAAGGGCGATCTTTGATGGGGACATCGAAAATTGACAATAAATATTACAGAAATGCTATGGAATTGTACTTTGCCCAATGTTTACAGGACCACATACTGTCTATCCTGGGATCGGAGTCATAGCACCAACAGGAGATTTAGACTTCTGCTGGAAGAACATTTTCCTGTTGGACCTTCTTATGCTTTAATTCAGTGCATTATTATTATACAGGATTTATATAGCGCCAATAGTTTGCGCAGCACTTTACAATATAACAGGAGACAATACAGCAACAATACAATCAATAGAAGAGGATGGTGTGTGCCCCGCTCACAAGAGCTTACACTCTAATAGGGTGGGGCAAGTGGTACAAAAGATCATGAGTGTGGGGGATGAGCTGATGGAAGTAATGTCTATTCGGAGGGGTGATAGGCTTCCCTGAAGAGATGAGTTTGCAGGGATCGCCTAGGCACATCTCACTGTACATATGAATGGACAATTAGAAATCCTGATCTGACGCTCGGAGTCGCAGAATTCTCAGAAACCCCCAACGTGGTATTCACATGAAAGCTGCCAAACTGGGGGCGGGGCTACAGGGCAGGAACAGCTGCTTTCCTCTAGACCAGCAGAGGGCCACAGAGAGCGCCTCCTCCCTTCTCTCCCCGTCACCTCTATGGTAAGTCATGAGGTCAGCAAGATGGCTACGTCCATAGCAGAGCATGGGGGGAAGGTAAGGATGGGATTTCAGGGTAACGGAGCTGTGTAGGAAGGTGACACCAGGGGAGATGAATGTCGTGAACAGCAGAAAGGATTTGGGTCTGCAATGGAAATATAAAGGGATCTGCCGGGTGTTGTGGACCCAGTGACAACACTAACACACCTGACATGGATGGGGACACCTTTTATGGCAGATATCTCTGTGTAGTCACATTGCAGTGTTTAATTTGTTTCCTTTTATTTTTAACCCTTTTGTTTCCAGAGCCAATTTTGTGTTTATGTAGAAAATTCTGTAAAACCCCGTATGGTATACACTATAGTACCACCAGTATTGGGCCGCTGGCCTTTCTACGCACATGACCTTTAATGGCATCCCAGTCTTGGGCTGGCCATACACTATACAATTTTCTGTTCAATTTCTGCCCAATTGCCTTTAGATTTACCTTCAACTATGTAGTGCGAGGACCTGCTTAGTTAGGTACAATTGAATGTGTTGTTTGACCTTCTATTATATGGCTTTTGGTAAATCTAAAGCAATTTTCTAAAGAAAATTGTATAATGTATGGCCAGTCTTAGTCCGTAGGGTTCAATATTGAGTTGGCCCCGCCCTTTGCAGCTATAACGGCTTCAACTCTTCTGGGAAGGCCGTCCACAAGGTTTAGGAGGGTGTCTATGGGAAGGTTGGACCATTCTTCCAGAAGCACATTTGTCAGGTCAGGCACTGATGTCGGGGGAGGAGGCCTGGCTCGCAGTCTCTGCTCTAATTCATCCCAAAGGTGTTCTATGGGGTTGAGGTCAGGACTCTGGGCAGGCCAGTCAAGTTCCTCCACCCCAAACTGGCTCCTCCATGTCTTTATGGACCTTGCTTTGTGTACTGCTGGGCAGTCATGTTGGAACAGGAAGGGGCCATCCCCAAACTGACCCCACAAAGTTGGGAGCATGAAATTGTCCAAAATGTCTTCGTATGCTTATGCCTTAAGAGTTCCCTTCACTGGAACTAGGGGGCCAAGCCCAACCCTGAAAAACAACCCCACACCATAATCCCCCCTCCACCAAACTGTACACCTGGTACAATGCAGTCAGGTAAGTATCATTCTCCTGGCAACCGCCAAACCCAGACACGTCCATCAGATTTCCAGACAGAGAAGCGTGATTGGTCACTCCAGAGAACACGTCTCCACTGCTCTAGAGCCCAGTGGCGGCGTGCTTTACACCACTGCATCCGACGCTTTGCATTGCACTTGGTGATGTAAGGTTTGGATGAAGCTGCTCGGCCATGGAAACCCATTCCATGAAGCTCTCTACGCACTGTTGTTGGGCTCATCTGAAGGCCACACCAAGTTTGGAGGTCTTCAGTTATTGACTCTGCAGACAGTTGGCTACTAATGCGGACTGTGCGCTTCAGCATGCACTGACCCCGCCCTTTCATGTGACGTGGCCTACCACTTGGTGGCTGAGTTCCTGTTGTTCCCAGTTGCTTCCACTTTGTTATAATCCCACAAACAGTTGAGCGTGGAATATTTAGTAGCCAGGAAATGTCACGGATGGACTTTCACAGGTGACAACCTATCACGGGACCACGCTTGGAGTCACTGAGCTCCTGAGAGCGACCCATTCTTTCACAAATGTCTATAGAAGCAGTCTGCATGCCTAGGAGCTTGATTGTATACACCTGTGTCCATGGAGGTGATTGGGACACCTGAATCCAATGATTTGGAGGGGATTGGAACACCTGAATCCAATGATTTGGAGGGCGGGCCCAATACTTTTGGCAATCTAATGTATGTATCTGGAGGCAGGGTGGGTCACATTTTTTTTTTTTCTTGGGGGGGGAGATGGTTATGCACTCAGGTGTAACGTTTTTTACACTTTCTAAATTTTTCACTTGACTTTATTACTATCCCATAGGGGACCAATAGCCCCCAGGTTATCTTTATTGAAGCATCAGGGGTCCTTTAGACCCCCGATGTCCCCCCTGCCCCCCACTTAAGCTAACAAAGCACAGATCAACAGTGGGCAGGGAAAGTGACAGCAGAACCAGAAGTGATGGAATCCTTGCTACTTCTGGATTTTTATCAGGTAGGGGAGATCAACAAACAGATGTTCACTGCTCTCTCTCCCCTCTACCCGGAAACATTCATTGTGGGTTCTTGGCCAGCAGTTGCTACAGTGGAGCCCAGTAAAGACAGCGGTCGAGTCACATGTATAGGTTGGGATGGGGTTTGAATGTAGTAAGTGCCCATGGAAGCGATTGGGTGCCTGTAAAAGGATTAAATTTTTTTTTACATTTTTTGAAACCTCAAAAAATTACACATTATGCAACTTTATGTACAGCCGTGCGTTGTGACTTTTTTGTGCCTTGTGCCTTGGGCTTTGTGGCAATGTAGTCATGGGCATCAAGCGCAAGCTCACAGATATGAGTACACCACTCCATAGCTTCCTAATCGATGCTTGTACTCTGCTTATCCTGCAAAAACACCACATTATACGGACCTCTCCTATGTTTTTTTTTAAATCCCTTCTATTCCTGCTGTCCCCTTTGTTTTGGAGTTTTCCATATCTTTAGCAATCCCCTTATCCAGTGTTTCTCAACCAGGGTGCTGTGAGTTTGCTCTGGATCAGTGTCATGAGTTTCCGTGGTGCAGGCAGACTAGTCGCCAGCACTGTGACAAACAATGTTTCTGTGACAGAGGAGGAGGCTGTGTGACTTGAGAGGGCTCCGTGATGGGGAGGATCTAATGTGAATGGGGGTGGCTTCATGTATTGGGGTGACTCTGATGTGATTGGGGGGGGGGGGGGTCTCATGTATAGCAGTGACACTGATCTGATGGGGGGGGGTCACATAAATAGGGGCGACACTGATGTGATGGGGGGGTCACAGATGTGAATGGTCAAATGTATAGGGGCGACACTGATGCGATGGGGGGGGCCTCTGATGTGAAGGAAGACTCATGTATAGGGGTAACTGTGATGTGAAGAGGGGGAATCATGTATAGGGGCGACACTGATGTGATGGGGGGGACCCTGATGTGAAGGGAGACTCATGCATAGGGGTAACTGTGATGTAAAGGGGGTAACCATGTATAGGGGCGACACTGTGATGGGGGTGACTCTGATGTAAAGAGGGGACTCATGTATAGGGGTAACTGTGATGTGAAGGGGGGGAATCATGTATAGGAGCGACACTAATGTGATGGGGGTGACTCTGATGTGAAGAGGGGACTCATGTATAGGGTTAACTGATGTGTAGGGGGGGAATCATGTATAGGAGCGACACTAATGTGATGGGGGTGAATCTGATGTGAAGGGAGACTCATGTATAGGTGCGACGCTGTTGTGATGAAGGGCTCTCATTTAAAGAAGGACTCTATTGTAATGGGGGGCCTCTGACATGAAGCGAGGGCACTGACGTGATGGTTGAACCTTTGATTAGAAGGGAGGCTTCTGATGTGAAGTTAGTTTCATCAAGGCGGTTGTGTTCATGGTCCCAGGCCCAGGTTTCCCATTGATAAGTAACATTTACAATTGATACACTTTAGACGGGAGTACTTTGAGATTTTGCATACTTTTAAGAGTGCTGCAATTGTAAAAGGGTCGAGGAACACTGCCCTAAACCCATTAGTTTCTGCTGGACAGACGTGTAGATGAAGGATTCTTTAAGAGGGTTCCATGGTCAGGGTGGGCTGGGGGATCTTTTGGTTCTAGATCTGTTTTACTTCTGTGTGCTGACCATAGAAGTGACTGACTTTTTCTTGCAGTGGATCCTCTCTCATGGAGTTCAATATTCAGTTCCCCGGCTTCTCAGACGCTCAGTATCCTCTGCCAGGAACGAGGAGAACGCCCAGTGCTACAATGTGGTGGTGGTTGGTGGAGGACACGCAGGTACTGAGGCTGCTGCAGCAGCGGCACGGACTGGTGCCAAGACACTGCTTATCACACACAAGGTGGAAACCATAGGTAAGGATGACGTGTGTATCAGCCGAGTTCCTGATATGATCCCTTCACAAACTACATACCCAGTTCAAGATATGTCACCATGCACACTGTATACAGCAAAGTGTTGGAAGCTCCCCGATATGGGAGGTGCTTTCATGTTCTAGAGGTGTACAGCTTTGTTATGTAGAGCAGCAAGAGTGGCCATGCACAGAAGCACCATTTCATACCTCCCATCATAACTCCGGCCAGGTAGAGGAAGAGGGACAGATGAACAGATAAGGAGTTTTGACTTTCCTGATTTGCATGCTTGTCTCAGGTCAGTGACTTAGAGGCTTTGTAAAGGGTACTCTGTGGGATAATCCCTCTCACTACACTTGAGCTAAAGAAGGGCGTAGTAAGTAATCAACAAATGTTTAAAAAAAACTAAACGAAAAGACCCAAGTTCATGCATGACACCGTGGTCACCTGAAAGGCCAGATCTTTTGTCTTCTCCCTTCTGGACTGCAGTGTGGAAGGGTAGTTCTTTGAATGCTCAGGTCAGTGCCTAGTGATGTGAATGGTTTTTTTTATTGGCTGTCCATCAGAGGGGTTCTCACAGGATCCTGAAAACTGTAAGCTACAGCATCATGACACAAAGGGTGGGCCTTGACTGCAGTGGTAGATCACCAGTCTTCAAAGAATACTTTCTGACCATACTTCATGTTACACCCATATTTTTGTTTCTGTTAATGTGGGTGCATTTATAACATTTTTGCAAAAGGTGGAGTATGTATTTAACTTTCAAAGAGAGGCCAGGAAGGATCACATGATGTTGGATTCAGGCGAGTCAATAAAGGTCTTTGAAGTGTTTTTCCTTTTAACCACATGCCGCCCAGCCACTGTAGAAATACGGCGGCAGGGCGGCACGGCTGGGCAAAACCACGGTTTAAAACGTGTGTTTTTTAAAACAGGTAGGGGGCGCGCATGAGGCGCACCGCCGCCCTACCTGTCCCGCCTGTCCCACCGCAGATGTCAGTCGCCAGGTCACAGCCGGTCGTTACCGGCTATACTCTCGGCGATTAGCGGCAATCAGTGACAGAGAGCAGGGCTGCAGTAGCTGTGCTTTCTGTCAGTTCCTGACAGCTCCTAACATGCTGATCGGGACAGAAGAGTTTATCTGTCCGGATCAGTGTGTCTCCGTGCAGTACACACCCCGCCCCCTAGTAAAACACTCCCCTCACACAGTTAACCCTTTCACTGAATAATAAAGTTAACCCCTTCCTTCCCAGTGCCATTAGTACAGTGTCAGTGGTTTTTTTTTTTTGCACTGATCACTGTATTGGTGTCACTGGGGATGCCAAGTCAGTTCTCCCCCCCCCCAGTGTCAGAATGTCCGCCGCAGTCCCGCCATAAGTCGCTGATTGCCGCCATAAGTCGCTGATTGCCGCCATAAGTCGCTGATTGCCGCCATTATTAGTATATAAAAAAAAAAAAATCTCAGTATCTTTCCCGCCATTTGTAAACGCTATAACTTTCACGTAAACCAATTAATTTACACGTATTGGGTTTTTTGTAGCAAAGACACGGAGCAGAATACATTTTGGCAGAAATTTATGACTAAATTTGATTTTTAAATTTTTTTTTACTGGACATGTTTTATAGCAAAATGTCCAAAATATAGTTTGTTTTCCTCAAAATTGTCAGCCTTTTTTTTTTTTATAGCGCAAAAAATAAAAAATGCACAGGTGATCAAATACCACCGAAAGAAAGCTCAATTTGTGGGAAAAAAAGGATGTAAATTTCATTTATGTACCGTATTGCATGACCGCGCAATTGTCCGTTAACTAGCGCAGCGCTGTATAGCAAAAAAATGGCGTAAATTGCAGTATCTATACCATAGTTTGTAGACGCTATAACTTTCACACAAAGCAATCAATATACACTTATTGGGATTTTTTTTTACTAAAAAAACATGGAGCACAATACATTTTTGGCCTAAATGTATAACTAACTTTGAGTTTACTATATATTTTTTATAGCTGAAAGTAAAAAATATCGTTTTTCTTCAAATTTTTTGGTCTTTTTTTGTTTATAGCGTGAAAAATAAAACGCGCACAGGTGATCAAATGCCACCGAAAGAAAGCTCTATTTGTATGAAAAAAAGGACGTAAATTTCATTTGGAAGCAGCATTGCATGACTGTGCAATTATCAGTTGAATTAGTGCAGCGCCAAGTAGCAAAAAGAGGCCTGGTCATTAAGGGGGGGTAAATCCTCAGGAGGGCAAGTGGTTAATTGTGAATGCATAGAGGCAAGTGAGGTGGGGGAAGATTGGGAAGTTTTTTTTTTATGGCTTTAAGTAAAAGGATCAGCATTGAAACCAGAAAACTAACATCCTCTGAGGAAAACGAACAATAGTAGCCGCTGTACTTCTCTCATTAAAGGTTTCCTTTAAGTGGTCTGTCTCTAATAATGATTTATCTCTACCCATCTAGGTCAGATGTCCTGTAATCCATCGTTTGGTGGAATCGGTAAGGGTCACCTAATGCGTGAAGTGGACGCCCTGGATGGAGTCTGTGGGAGGATCTGTGATATGTCGGGAATCCACTACAAGGTCTTAAACCGCTGCAAAGGCCCAGCAGTGTGGGGACTGCGAGCACAGATCGACAGGATGATGTACAAACAGAACATGCAGGTATAACGTCATCTACCTTCACCTACCTATTCCACAAACCATAACAAGGAGCAATTGTGCTGGGCAAAGGGTGGTAAGCCTTTGTGTACAACCTGCAGCCCTTTGGCACATGAGTGGCCCTGCAGACAGCAGTCTCTATTTGCATCCCTTCTTGCTTTTTCTCTCTGTGACAGGCCCAGTGACACCATTGCCCCAATTACTCCTGAACATTTTCATTTGGTTTTAGATATTACAGTTGCCTTATGGCAAGCCTGTCAGGTTCACACTAGAAATATGCTGTAAAATGCACAAGCAGAGGTGACCATCAATAAAAACGGCATGTCAAAAATAATTAGTAGGTTTGGAGTTATAGATCGCTGAATTTGTATGCAATTATTGATTTCTTCCTTATAAGATCAGCCGGCTTTTCCTTTTCCTTTGCTTCCCTATTGTATCTTGGGGCAAAAGCTCAGCTTTCACCAGAAAAGTGGAGGTTTCTTGCTGGGCCCACTGATCACTGTGACATATGATGTAAATGATGGTTATTGCCTGTCATTTACCTGCTGGTGGCCATGTTTCCCTTACACCTACTGTCCAATACCCCTGGAGTTGTTGACAGGATGTCGCAGGATGAGGAGGGGTGCCTGCAGTTAGTCCAGACACAGCAGATGATCAAAAGACAGTCTGGTTGCTGCTGAGATGTTGGAAAGGTACAGGTTGGATCAGTGCAGAATGCTGGTTTGCAGATCAGCCACAGGAACATACACGTGCAGGCATAGTCAGGATAAGTAGGAGTCCGTGATAGCCAGGCAGCAGAGGTATCAATCTGACAAACAGAAGTCAGAGTTCAGACCAAGACTGCAGGCAGAAGGTGAAGTCGGGACACAAGCCAGGGTCAGCAGCAAAAGATACGGATATGATGGAGCCGGAAAGCAAGCTGGATCAAAACAGGGTAGCTGAATGATGATTCCGATCTCTCCTAGGTATTGCTGGGATTTGAATAGGGTTTATAGCGCTAAGTCCAGTGCTGGTTGAGCACACTCGCCCACGTAGGCACACAGCCAGGGGCGTATTTACCACTAGGCACTTGCCTAGGGCGGCATTTTTCAACGGGGCAGCACCTCCCCCCAGAAGAAGGGATGAAAGAAGGGACATGCGCACCATGGGAACCAGGTGGGATCCAAGAGAGGCTGCTTGATGGTGTATGTAGAGCCTGACGTTCGTTCCCGGGGATGTCCAGAGCTGTGAATGAGTGCCTCTCTATCGCTGGGGGGGGAGGTGGTAGTGGAAGGCTCTCCTGGGTGAGGTGCAGGGGTGTTGTTGGTTGGTCAATGTCAGGCTCTCTCCACAGGAGGGGCAAGAGGGGGTTGTGTTGGTCAGTGTCCGTGGGGGCAGACGATTTGTGTGTTGCCTAGGGCTGCACAAGACCTAAAAACAACACTACACACAGCTATGGCTCTTAAGCCTTGGACTGAGGGCTGCAATATGCACATATCATTGGCCATGGCCATGTGACTGACCACTCTGACACAATATGTATGAAGTTGAAGTACCTCAGTTTATGACTGTAAAGGAAAATTGATACAGCGGGTAAAATAAGTATTGAAATGTTCACCACATATCAGTAACAACCCATGCATAAGGTTGCAAAGGTCTTGAGAGAGCTTTTTGCTTTTACCCATCATGAGATGTTTCATGTGTGACACCTTGGTAATGAGACACCCTTTTATAGGCCATCAGTTTATACCGAACTAGCTGATATTAACATGCACTGACAAGCAGCAGGATTGCTTTCTAATTACTGATAGATTTCAGCTGGTGGCTTGGCTTTTCATGCCTTTTTGCACCTCCCTTTCTTCATGTGCTCAATAATTTTTCCCTGTGTCATTCCATTTTATTACACGTAACTTAATTTCTGAACTTATTTACAGGCGTACCACGGTTTATGAACGCCTCGGTTAATGTAATTTTCGGTTTACGAATGAAAAGTCATTGAAAATAATGGCTCTGTTTACAAATTTGTTTCGCAATACGAACAGATTAATTGGTTTTCAATGCATTTACATTTTTTTTTTTTAATCATATCCCGGTACAGTATTTATGCCTTTAAAGTGCACTTTATGAAGAGTTTTGAACAGATAAGACTTTCTTTGATTTTTTTTTCTGACCTCCGGAACGGATTCATTGGTTTTCAATGCATTCCTATGGGAAGCCGCGTCTTGGTTTACGAATATTATGCAATACCCGCAGAATGCATTAAATTCTTAAACCGAGGTACGCCTGTTGTAACGGAACCGACCCAGACTGCGCTTGAGTGCTTCCGTTAGAATACCGCTTCCCCGTCCAAACACCGACTACAGACACCACAGCTGACCGTACAAGACTAGACGACACCAATCTTGAAGTAAACCAGGAGGTAGACTAGTGTATTTTAATACAGATACAAGATATATACACTCAGGGGACAACCCCCCCCCCCTCCCTGCATAATGACACCGGGTGGGGCAATCTACATTTAGTAACAAGAGACACACCACCAACAGACAGTCCCATCAGGAGGGAGGACTGCTGGAGACAGACACCCCCTCCACCCCCCCATCCCCCTAAGCTAATACACATAAACACATACATCCCATAATAGTTTGCTCCCAAACCAGACAAACAATAGAAAAATGGGATTTAACCACATGACATTAAACAATCAACAACCCCCAAACAATATTAGGATATATCATTCTGTACCCCTAACAGGCACAGGGTGACTTGCACATAATAGGGATATGGGGAGCTGAGACAGGGGTCTCCCCACCTCTCCAAAGTGAGCTGTGTTCCATGGGCCCCCCCCACCCAAAGTGATTCCTGTCACACCTGTTTTTTGGTTTCTTTGTATGTATGGATTGTTACCAAAATTTCATGTCAATAACACCTTTTAGAATTATATTTGCAGAGAAAAATGGTGACGTGTTCAATACCTATTTTACCCGCTGTATAGGAAATCTCTGGACAAGGCTTTTTAAATCTGTATTCTAGTTTGTGTAGATTCATACAACTGTTCTATTAAAACTTTCAACTCGTTTTGTTTTTTTTTTTTGTCCAGAAAGAGATTCTGAACACTCCTGGCCTCACTGTGGGAGAAGGATCTGTAGAAGATTTGATTTTGGATCCACCAGATCCTTCTCATCCTGGAAAGTGTCAAGTCAGTGGGGTGATTCTAGGTAAGAAACTTTCTTTCTTCTTTAGAAGGATTCAACCTGATGCCACCCTTAACTGAGCTTTTATTGTAATTTTGGCCCCATTCACACTTGCAAATTGGGGGTGTTTATGATTGCCCTTGGGGAAACTCAGCGGGGATTCCTGTGCATAGGTGCCAGTGAGAAGTTTAATTTAAAGGGTAACTCCACTTTTGAGAGAAAAAAAATGGCAAAAACTAATATAGCATATACAATTGCGACACAAGTCATTATGTAAATGACAGTTATTAACCCCTTCAAGTTCGGACATTTTACCCCCTTCCTGTCCAGGCCAATTTTCAGCTTTTTGTTCTCAAAGTGAAGTTACTTTTTAACCCCTTCCAGCCAGCACCTCCCTGCCCTTTAAGAGTTTCAGATGCCGGGAGGCGGGGCGTGGTTTAGGGATCATGTCACATGACCGGGAAAGGTCCCGATCGAAAGAGCGGACCGGGACCTTTCGGTGAGTACCACACATGCGTGCCGGGAGAGCGCAGGGCGCGCGCTCTCAGCGCATATGTCTTTTGTTACATGAACGCAAATGTGCGGGCCGCTCGGCGTCTAGGCCCAGACGCTGGGAGTAAAGGCGTAAAGGGATTAAGGTTTGGTTTACATATGCATTTTGCGTTTTGATGCTTTCTGCAGTTTGTTTTGCGATTTTTCTTCACACATTTTTGACATGTTTTTACTGCGTTTTGCTCAGTTTTGCTCAGTTTTTTTTTTTTTTTTTTTTTTTTTGATCAGTGATTTTTTTTGTTGCTGGGCAAAATAAAAATGCAAAACGCGGCAAAAACGCACTACCGTGCATTTCAGCAGCTTTTCCATTGAACTCTATTGTAGCAGAAACCCTGCTTTTAGCTTTTAAAAAAGTCCCTGACCCTTTCCAAGAACGCAGCAGCTCAAAAAAAAGCATAGATGTGAACGTGTCCCATAGGAAACCATGTTAAGTGGAACTGTAGTGCGTTTCTGCAAAAAGCACTAAAAAACGCATTGGTGTAAACGGAGCCTAAAGCAAAGGGAGCCTGGCAGAGCCCACAGCTATTCGCAGACATTCACTTGTAATCACACATGCCATCACTGTCTACTTCCAGGGCCAATTGTGTGCAGGCATGAGTGAATACATGTGAACGGTCATGGAGAGATGCGTGGCACCTAACTGCAGAGATCTCTACGGAGTCTCTCGCGGGTAATTGCAAACAATGCGAGTGTGAATGGGACCTTATAGCTCCTGTATATGTCCAGGGTTTTGTTGCCTTCATATTTGCTGTATGGGGATGATGGCGATATAGCAGGTTTGATGTGTGTGTTTGTGTGCGATTACTGTTCCATTTCCTTTGCTACTTGCGCCATTCATGATGCAGTTGACCTATGTGCCCTGGACACAGGGTTCTGCATTCTAGCTGCAAAGCCTGGAAACAAAGACATTTCGGGAAAAAAGAAAAAAACAATTCAGCGTATAGGTGGCCTTGTTGGTATACCTGCTGAGTATATTCCCCTCCACTACTGCAGTGGAAGTAACATCATCTTTTTCTTAATATATGGAATGTAATGTTTCATTCACCTTTTCATTAATAAATGTACAGACTGCAGATGCAATAAATGAAAGCCCAACTCTGGCCCCAGAAATAGGTATACAGTCACACGGATATTCTACGAACCTTCTCCTATTTCATACTGTTGCAGCATTTGTGCAGGGTGTCTCACTGTGTAGTAATCAGCACTCAGTAACCGATCTGGTAAGGACCACCGACTCCTCTCTTCCTGTGCAATACAGGTTTGTGGGAGGACACATGTGGCTATTACTCAGGTAGAAGTTGCAAGCCACCTCACCACCTATTGGTGCAGACTTCAATAGTTATTGTTAGGCTAGGTTAATATCTGTGCGGGTGGTGCCCCTGTAGATCCACATGAAAATCCGTGCAGCTGCACCACCCGCACAAAGGAATGCAGACCATTCTAATGGCGTGGACCCGTGGGCGGGTGCCATTAATTCTAATGGCGTGGGCGGGTGCCATTAATTCTAATGGCGTGGACCCGTGGGCGGGTGCCATTAATTCTAATGGCGTGGACCCGTGGGGGGGTGCCATTAGTTCTAATGGCACGCCACCTGCACTGGAAAATGCAACCGTACTGTGTACCGAGGTTCCCGTGCGGGCTGCATTTCCAGGAGAAGTGCAGGGACTTCTTCCCTGCGTGTCACAGGGCACGGGAGTCTATTCAAATGAATGGGCTCTCGTGTCTGCGCAAAACGCGACCTGCACGGCCGCACATATGTGAACCGGGTGTCACTCAGCTGTGTCAGCACTGAGGAAGGGGAGTAGAAGAAAAAGGTGTAGAAAACAGGATTTCTTAAGTATCCAGCAGTTAGTAGTTAGCACTTATGCCTGGCTGCACTAGGGTCATCGGTTTGAATCCCAACCATGGCACTATCGGCCTAGCGTTTGTATGTTCTCCCTGTGCCTGTGTGGGTTTCCTCCGGGTACTCCGATTTCCTCCCACACTCCAAAGACATGTTGGTAGGTAATTGGCTTATGCCTAAATTGGTCCTAGTATGTGTATGAATGGGAGTTGGGGACCTTAGATTGTAAGCTCCTTGAGGGCAGGCATTGATGTGAATGTGTAATAAATATGTAAAGCACTTCATAAATTGAAGGCACTAAATTAGTACCTATAATAATAGCCTTTAAGAAGCATTAATAATCTTCAGACCATGCTTTGTCCCTCTAGCTGATGGAAGTAAGATATTGGCGAACAGCGTAGTGCTGACAAATGGCACCTTCCTTAGAGGAACAGTTCGGATTGGCCTGGAACAAATTCCTGCTGGCCGCTGGGGGGAGGAGCCTGCAGTTGGTCTTGCACATACTATGGAACGCCTGGGCTTCACCATCGGGAGGCTGAAGACTGGAACCCCACCCTCGCATCTTAAAGGATTCAGTAGACTTCAGTGTTCTGGAAAGGCACGATGCAGATAACCCACCTGTGCCATTCAGCTTCATGAATGACAGAGTCTGGATCAAGGTGAGACACTTAAAGTCTATGTAAACCCTCACCTTGTAAAACCACCCATTCAGTTTAAATTAGAAATAAAAGGCAAAGCATTTGTGTGTGTGTGTATGTGTGTGTATATATATATATATATATATATATATATATATAAAATCTTAACCCTTTTTGTCCCCCTTTTTTATAATCACATTCCCTCTGTTCTCAGTTGCATAAGAGATGGGGGGAGGAGGAACAGCAGTTCACTGAACTTCCCAGTGAAAGACTGTGCAGGGAGTGGTGTGGGGGTTCAGGACATGTCTGATCATTGGAGCAGAGCACAGCTAGAGAACTGACCACTCTGTGTTCTCATGCCTAGCGTGGTCAGTTTTTATTAGGGAAAGCAGAGGGTCTGGCTGGAACACAAAGGAAGCAATACAAAGTGCACAGGATACTTGTTCATACAGGCACATGGCACAGCAGGCACATGGCACAGCAGGCACATACCAGGCATATGAAATCTTGGATTTACACATTTTTTTAAAGAGACTTAAAGGGTCAGTCCTCTTGATAGTTATTTTTGTTAGAGGTGAAATCTGCTCGAGTGATTCATACACCGTTGGTTTTTATTTTTTATTCACAACTAAACCTTCTATGACTTGCTGAATCCATCGGATGAGTGTCATTAATTTACCTTGCTTTCTATAGCCTGAAGATCAATTTCCATGTCATCTGACCTACACAACTCCTGCGGTGGAGCAGATCATTCGGGACAACTTACACCTGAACAGTCATGTCAAGGAGACAAGCATGGGGCCCAGGTATAAGGTTTGCCCGTACTGATCACATGACCCTGTTGAGTTTCTTTGTGATTTTTAGACCTGCCCTCTTTAGGTACTGCCCTTCCATTGAGTCGAAGATCTTGCGGTTTCCTGGCAGAAGGCATCAGGTGTGGCTGGAGCCGGAGGGAGCGGATTCAGAGGTTATCTACCCTCAGGGGCTGTCTGTGACAATGCCGGCCGAGGCCCAAGAAAGGCTTCTGAGGGAGATTCCCGGGCTAGAGAATGTTCATATGCTTCGCCCAGGTCAGTGAATGCACTCAGAGCCCTTGGTTCAACAAAAGGTCTCAATTTAATTGAATTAGATAATGAACCAGGTATGATAAGATATATTCCTTAAGTCTTATTTAAAGTAAAACTTTTTTTTTAGTTTTGAATAGCATAGAGAGGGATTAGAGACACTGTCAAGTTTTTAGGGGGGGTGGGGGGGGGGGTGAGATACTGTTGGGTAGAGTCACCCTCTCCATTTGTCCTGTTTACCGTTATCACCAAATGTGAAAGTTACAGAAAATCCCAAAATTTAGGTTGTCATCTGAACAGAAATAGAGGGGAAATCTTCCAATGGAGACACTAGTTCTGGTGACCATTTTGACAGAAAGGGATTTCGTTGTTTTAAAGGGATTCCTTCTCAGTTCCTGTTTTGTCTGTGGGACAATATGTGAAGGGATATCACCCCAGTGGGCTTTCAGATGGCCAAAAAAACCCAAAAAACTGACGGGTTAGATCCCTGTGGAAACAGAAACAACCTCTCCTGTGGCTCTATGACCCAGAGCAAGGGTGGATGGATGGGAACAGAACTTGAGAAAATTCGACCACCAATGCATAGAAGGTTGTGCTGCTCTAAAACAGGCTGGGGAGCAGAGCTCTGTTGAAGAAGGGACCCCCTTTGAAACGCGTCAGCCTTACTTTCAGAGCCTACCCCTGCAATGTGACTCGCACTGGTTCTACACTCCTAAAGTTCCTTTGAGGGCCTATATGCTTGATTTACTTCGTTGTTTGTGAGTATTATTCTCAATTTAATAAAATCACAGTCTGCTGAGGTAATGCGCAAGGTTGGTGCGCTTTCTTTTTGTTTCACTTTGCAGGGGTTATATCCCTTCCTTACCTTTTTATCCAAAATGAAAAAAAAAGTTTAGCATTTATTTATACTTCAGAATACAAAGCTGGTGTGAAACATACTAAGCGTCCTATGCACAGGCTCTGATAAATCCTTGCATTGTTCGCTCTAACATCGTTATTAAAGCTGAATTCCAGGAGAAGCAGATATTCTCTACATACAAGTGACGTGTAATCTTAAAGGAGAAGTACAACCAAAGCTCTTTTTTTTCTCCTGCGGATCACAGGAGTGCAGTTCATTCTGCTGAGAGTTCACAGCAGCTGTGAGTACTCGGCGATCGCTGAGTTCTTAAAGTTAGAGCCGGCGGAGGACAGATGCAGCCAGGGCCAGTGCTAGACTAGGCAAGACCAGCTACTTGCCACCCCCCCCCCCCCCAAAAAAAAAATGTATGTAGGAGGATTTGTTTAATCTCTGTATATCACCTGAGGCCAGTCACTTCACTGGGTATATGGAAGGGTTTACAGCCACTTTAAAGTGTAACTGAACCCATCGATTTAACGGTCTCCCAAAACAGGGCCCTATCACAGGATTGGTCTGAAGGGGTCCACCTGTCCGTTTTTCTAGTGGACCTAATAGGATACTCGATTCCCCTCTGGAGTGTTGGATGTAAACAAACGTGTTGGTCTGCTAAAAACAAACAGAAGGGGATCTATTCCTCTTCCATCTGGGTGGATTGGAGGGCAGTCGGGTGTAAACATACAGCCAGTCCGTTTACATCCCACCACCCATAGAGCAGAGTGGGCTGTGTCTGTGTCCACTCTGCATAAGCGGAGCAGACACAGAGCTGTCATCCGCCCATTCCGCTCAGCAGGGGATCCGCGGACAGGTCCCCCACTGAGCAAGTGGATTCCGCCTTATGTGAGGCCTTACATTCAAGGCATACCACGGATGATCACTGTCACAGCTGCTTGTGCTCTCTACCAAACTGTCAAGCTATCAAATGACTGGACACATGTGCAGCATCATGGCAATTGCAGATGAAATAGAGGCCAAGGTGGCAGCTTCCTTGGCTGCAAAAGATAAGAGGGTTTATTTCCATTTTAGGAACTGGATTTCCACTGCAGCTGGTTAATCTGTGGCTGCTTAATGCGCAGTACACAGGCACACGTGTCACTTTCAGCAACCAGCAGGTTATCTGAGACTTTTCCTTTACTCACGGTCTGTTGTTTATGCTGACTGCTGTTTAGGGCTGTAAGCGCTGCATTGCATTTGCAGGTTACGGAGTGCAGTATGACTTCATGGACCCCAGACAGCTGCGATCCTCACTGGAGACATTTCTAGTTCAGGGACTTTTCCTGGCTGGGCAGATCAACGGCACCACAGGGTATGAAGAGGCTGCAGCTCAGGTACCAGGAGATGCATCTGTTATTATTCCAAAAACAAATTCTCATGTTATGACTTGGCAAAAAAAAATGCCCTCTGGTCCCTTCTTTCCTGTCCCCTCTGCCCTCCCGCCCCACATCCCCCCCCTTCCCTACCCCCCTCTTCCCTACCACCCTCACCGCTCCCCTCTTCCTCACCCCCCCCCCTTTGATACCCCCCTCTTCCATTTCCTATCTCCTTTCTCTCTCTTTCCTCTCTTTTTTTTCCTATCTGTATTTCTTTTCTTTTCCTTGACTTTCAGCTTCCATATTCTTTTCTGTTTTATCTTTATATAAAAAAACAAGCTAGCTGTAAGGTGGGTTTTCTATATTGTATGACTTTTGCAGATGGAACAGGGACATGGCTTACTGTTATCTCATGATTATACTGTATGGATGTTCCATTAATGATTACACTTTGACAACCTTGTATTGATTGTACTGCACTACTGTGGCTGTTTGCCACCCGCTGTTCAGCTTTCATAAATAAAGAATTAAAAAAAAAAAAAGCCAGATAGATGAAGTGCTAGCATATTGTTAACCACTTGCCAACCGCGCCATAGCCGGATGACAGCAACAGCGGGGTTGTCCAGTTCTACGGACACAGCTGATCACGTGATGCGGTAAAAGACTAATCACAGCAACCTTTTACCACGTGATCAGTTGTGTCCAATGACACAGCAGATCACCGGGTAAATGCAGTTGCCGGTTATCAGCTGCACATTGCTCATGCTATCACAGTGTGAGGAAAGTACTGCCGATAACTGGCAATTGTCAGAGGATGGATTGGCACTGATCATCAGGGCACTGATGATCAGTGCCACCCACCTGTGCCCATCAGTGCCTAGTAGTGACACCATTCAGTGCCCCCCATCAGTGCTGCACAGCAGTGCCACCTATCAGTGCCACCCATCGTTGCCCAACAGTGCTTTCTATCAGTGCCCATCAATGCTGCCTATCAGTCCCGCCTCATCAACACACATCAGTGAAGGAGACAAATTACCTGTTTGCAAAATTTTACAATAGAAACAAATAGAAACTTTTTTTTTTTTTAATTGTTTTATTTTTTGCGCTATAAACAAAAAACAGCAAACACCCAGCAGCGAGTAAATGCCACCAAAAGAAAGCTCTATTTGTGTGGAAAAAATAAATAATTTCAGTATGGGTACAATGTTGCATGACCGCGCAATTGTCATTCAAAGTGTGACAGCGCTGATAGCTGAAAATTGGCCTGGGCAGGAAGGGGGTATAAGTGCCCGGTAGGCGAGGGGTTAATAACTATTTTTCCAATACACCGTATATACACAAAGGTTTAATTAGTTACCATGTGATGTGTATCTGCACCACTAGATGGCAACTTAAACCCGTGAGAATATCAGACGAACGATCGTCTTTTCTGCATGCTGGTCTCATATCGAAAGTGAAGAGGTTACTAAAGTAACAAAAATTATCCAAAAGAAATTTCGGAAGTGATGTCATGTATTTGTATTCTATTCTCAGACGAAAACTGTACTGATTAAACAAAAATTGTACGATCTGGAATGGTACGGGAACAATTTTCATGTTTTGTTCCTTCAAATAATTGCAGAGGAAAGCTGTGTGCTGACGATCAGATTATTGTACGATCGCTTAGAAAGCGGTATTTTTCGTACGATTTTCTGACCGCGTGGACTAGGCTTTACTAGCAATAGTCTATGAATATTTTCTTCTGATCGCTATGCATGTCTTAAAGTGGAACGCTCCTGGCCTCAGTATCACTTGTGGGCATTACCTAAGGTGGTTCGCAGTTTTAAGAAGCTATGTACAGCCTCTCCCGCCAGTCATGTTTTTTCCTCACATAGAGTACATCCACACATCAATCATTTTGACATTTACAAAACTCCTTCCAAGAGCCGGCCCACTGCTTGCATAAGGACTGAGGGCTCTTGAGAGGAGTACTGAGGCAGGATGCTGTGATGTTTTCAGAAAGTTATGTACAACAAACAGCTGGCCCCCTCCCACCAGGCGTAGTCAGCCTACGTTGCATAGAGATGCACAGAGACCCACTGATGGCATCACTAGGTCTAAAATAAGGTCTGTAAAGAAAATGGGTTTTATTTTAAATTGTTGTTAGCATGTTGGCGGGGGGGAGGCTTGAACCAGGGAAGGAAAAAAATAAGCAGATTAACCTTCAGGTTTAGATCTAGAACGGTGGATGTGCGTGTGTAGGCCTGCAGCTGAAAGGAAGGGCCAGAGAGCTTGGGGAAACATGAGGATAATTGTATAGTATATGTGATGTTGGAGTTCCAATAAAGAGTCGCTGTACCTGTAATGTGCTATAGGGTAACTGCTTTGTTCATTGCTTTGTATGTCCCAATGCTGCAGTTCTTCAAACATGACACTAGGGACCGCACTGAACAAAGGCTGCCTGTTGTGGTGCGTGGCTTCCACAAATAATATTTGTCTGGTTATGCAACTTCTGTTATTACTTCACTAGAACCCAGTTTTCATTGAGGTCCTCCTTGCTGAATTTTTTTGTGTGGTTGGGACCAATGGTACCTGGCATGTGACCCTTACTCACTGGACTGCGCTAAAATTTTGTCTTTTTGTTGCAATCATATGTTGTGTTTGCCTTGCCAGGGGATCATCGCTGGAATAAACGCCGCTCTCAAGGTGAAAGGTCAGCCGGCGTTCACCGTTAGCCGTACAGAAGGTTACATTGGTGTTCTCATCGATGACCTGACCACGCAAGGAACCCGGGAGCCGTATCGAATGTTCACCAGCAGGGCGGAGTTCCGCATGTCTCTGCGACCAGACAACGCCGACATGCGTCTTACCCTTCGAGGTGAGGACCTAGTATGGTTAGAAGAGTTTGGAGCATTACATCGCAGGATGTGTCCACTCTTCTAAAACAAAAAAAGTACGGCGCTACAAATACAAAACTACAATTAGACAAAAAATAAATTATAATGTCCAATGATGTGCAAAAAAAATTTACCTCCCTAGCGGTCTGATTATGTCAATATTTCTGTGCTCAAAGCGGTACATTTTTTTGCATGGAAATGTGTCGTTTTTTTATTGTAGGTCTGTAATTTATAGGAATAACTCACTGAAATCTGTCAGAACAAAAGTCTAGTAAACATCCCGGGTATGATAAAATTTGAAACACGAAATCATAAATTATAATTTGAATAAATAATCATAAAAAATAATAATATAATATTAATAAATTTAATTAAATAATATAATCAAACCAAAAACACTGACATTTGAAATATAGCGCCAAGTTCGCACATCACTGAGCTCAGTCGCAGAATCGTTTTCAGTGTCTGATGAGGAATTTCCCCCACGAATCATTATCACTCAATTCTGCAAGTGGTTCTGATTTACTATCGCTGTTCTCTAGCCGGTCTAAAACCGCTTTTGACCTAAAGGGACGCTTTTTGGACGCCATGGACGTTTCTCAGTTTCCAGGCAGAAAGAACAGTAAAAATGCAGGCAGGGCGCCGGACAAAGCACTCGGGACAAAATGTATGTGAAATGGTTTGATACAGGAATGGAATACTATATGATTTTAGTGTATTTTGTGAATGTCACTTTTTAAAATTTCCCGCCGGTTCCGTCTCCTGTACGTCCCGATGCTCGCAGGGACCGGAAGACTGATGCTGGCATCGGCCGGAGGACATGGCCGGGGACGCTGCAGGGGGGACATGGCGGGAGCGCAGGACAAGGTAAGTGGAACAGGGATCCCGGAGCAACGCTGCAGTGTATTCTCAAGTGTAGCTCGGGGTTACCGCTTTTGACACTGATAATTAACCCCGAGCTACACTCGGGAATACCGCCTGGGAGGTTAAACATAAAGTCTCTAGTGACAAATAAATGTTCAAATGATTAAGAAAAAAAAAGTCTTGGGGATCCACCAGCACCTCAAAAAATACTGCCTGTTACCAGACTTGAGTGACCCCACAATTAAGTGGCAGTCAAGAAATGTGTAGTGCGGATCCCAAATTAGGATGACGAACTCCGTTACTGCTGACTCCGGGGGGATACAAATATAGACCTAAAACAATGAATTATCCTCAGAGGACAAAGTCATCCTTCCCTGCTGCCCCAGTTTAGGGGTGTGGCTAAAGGATAGAGCTGAGCAAACCAGGACCGGAGTCAACACTTGGTCCTCATGGCAGGGCACACACTTCTTACTGATCTCCCAGGGGAGATAGAACTGTCCTTATAATGGGGCTTCCCTCCATACTGCAAGGGTTAAACGCTTGTCTTTGCCTAGAGTATCAGGAAAAAGCACTTACCCCTACCATTGCTCCTCCGTTCAGCACACCTGAAGCAGGTGCATCATCAATGTAGGACCATCATTCCTGCAGTGCAAGGTTCCTTTCATGTATTGGGGGGCGATCTGCAAACGCCGGGGGCAATAATCTGCAGATTCTGGAAGTGGGAATCACTAGTGTTTACGGTTTAGCTGCAGCTGCTCTGCCCACATGAATGCACAACAAACTGTGCCAGTGGCTGTCTATGGGAAAATGCACATGTAGCGGTTCCCTGCAGCAGGGATGGATGATCGCCACTGGATGCCGACAGATGAGTACAGGCTCTGAAATTCCTTCCTTAACCACTTCCCGTGTGGACCATGGCCGGACGGGAGCAGTGCAGGAGCGGGTGGTCGTTTATAAACGTTCTCCCCGCTTCCCTGCCTGTGAACGCTCCCTGGGAGCGCGCTGCAACTCAATCCAGTGCCCGCTGTGTCCATCCTGATCATGTGATCACTGATTGGCCAATCCGGATGCATTCTGGATATATTTTTTTGCTTACAGTTCACAGCACATTCCGTTCCGGTGCAGTTTTGATGCCGTTTTCCATGTTGCGGGAGAGTTTTCCATGTTGCGGGAGAGTTTTCCATGTTGCGGGAGAGTTTTCCATGGTGCGGTGCAGAATGCCATGTTGCAGTGCAGAATGCCATGTTGCAGTGCAGTTTGCCGTGTTGCGGGTCAGTTTGCTGTGTTGCGGGTCAGTTTGCTGTGTTGCGGGTCAGTTTGCCGTGTTGCGGGTCAGTTTGCCGTGTTGCGGGTCAGTTTGCCGTGTTGCGGGTCAGTTTGCCGTGGTGCAGTGCAGTTTGCCGTGGTGCGGTGCAGTTTGCATGTTGCGGGTCAGTTTGCCATGTTGCGGTGCAGCGTGCCATGTTGTGGTACAGTTCTGTGCAGCATGTTCTACTTTTTTTTTCTGCACCAAAAACTGACTGCACTGCTGTGAACTAGGGCCAGGAATAGGAATACATAGAGAACACTGTGCATGCATTTTTGATGCAGAAAGAAGTGGGAACTAGCCCTTAAGGTGAATTAGACATTTTTTTACAGCATGCAATCATTCATGCAAATGAGTCACGTGACCATGTTATCGCATGCAGTAATCTTTAGTGAACTGACCCCAAAGTTATTAAAGTGCTCTTTTACTGGTATAACCTTCTTCTTTGTTACATGATTGTTATACGTTGTACCCTTGTTTATTTACTTCAATAAAGTTGCTTTACAAAGTAAAAACCTGGCTTTACTATCACTATATTAGCACCCCAAAAGTATCTAGCAGTGAAATTATTGCATGGGAACAGGCAAAACCACATGCACAGTAGTGTGGACCAACCCTTACTTCATTTTTATCAATGTAAAGTCTAGCATAATAACAGACACCGCGAAATACCTGATTGCTATCTTAGTTCACCAGGAAAGCCTCTTCTGTGTTCCTCTGGTGTAGTTTCACTTTGATACTGGGGCTTGACTTCATGGCAGAGCCTTGCCGACAGCCATCCCTGCCCAAAAAGATTGTCTCAGCAGCCCCTACATGCATGTCCTTTGGAAAGGGAGGTGGCAGTGAGTGAAGCATAGCCATGAAGTCATGGAACGTTGGCCCCTGGGAAAAAAATGATGAACTTCTTCCCACCCCCATAATGCACAAGAGAATGGGCTTTAATGTCTAAATGCTGCACATATGCATCCATAGGTGGCAGAGTCTTCTGTGCTGAAAATGTGTTCCCAACACAGTGACTGAGCTATTCAGACAGCTTTCGGTCCATACTAATCAGACGTCAGCGGGACCGGCGCCTGGTCATGTGACCACTGTGACAGCTAATCAGTGGTGATGAGGTTTCCTCGGCATTAAATACATATGAAAGAGGGGCTGGGATGGAAGAGGTTAAAACTAGATCAGAATGGGGCACAGAAGAGGCATTTCTGGTTGGTTGTAGCAATACACTTGAATTACTTGTTCCAGGTTGTTGTATAAAACCTCCCTGAAGAAGTGGCCGCTCACACCTCCCTGAAGAAGTGGCCGACCACACCTCCCTGAGGAAGTGGCCGTCCACACCTCCCTGAGGAAGTGGCCGTCCACACCTCCCTGAGGAAGTGGCCGACCACACCTCCCTGAGGAAGTGGCCGGTGCTGGGCCTTGAAACGTGCTGTCAATGTGTTCTATGTAAAGTCTGTGACCAATCACTATCAACTGTGGAAGACGTAGGCTCTCAAACAGCTCCTTCTCTTACATGTCCCTCTGCTGATCTCCGCTCCATTTTTGAGACCCAAATCCTCCACTTTTGTATATTTTGCATATTTTCGATCGTTTTTACATTCTGCCGTTCTCCTTTTGCACAGTACAGTATATTTCTGGTCTTCCTTTCAGGATACGAGGAAGCGGGCTGCGTGTCTCAGAAGCGGTACGAACGGACACGAGTGACCAAAGAAATGCTGGAGGAGGGCCTAGATACGCTACGTTCTATAAAATTTGCATCCCAGAAATGGCAGCATCTTGTCCCAGAGGCGCAAATCAGCAACAATCGTGTCAACATGCTCAGGTGACCCTCAACCTTGATACTGCTGTCCATAACTATATACAGTTGCAAGAAAAAGTATGTGAACCCCTTGGGATTACGTGGAGTTTTGCATGAATTGGGCATAAATTGTGCTCTGAACGTCATCTAAGTCACAACAATAGAAGAACACAGTCTGCTGAACATAATACTACACAAACATTAGATGTTGCCATGGTTTAATTGCACATAACATGTAAACATTCACAGTGCAGGGAGGAAAAAGTATGTGAAGCTTTGGACTTAATAACTGGTTGACCCTCCTTTGGCAGCAATAACCTCAACCAAACGTTTCCTGTAGTTGTAGATCAGACCTGCACAACGATCTGGAGTCATTTTGGACCACTCCTCTTCACAAAACTATTTCAGTGTAGCAATATTCTTGGGATGTCTGGTGTGAATCGCTCTCTTAAGGTCATGCCACAGCATTTCAATCGGGTTGAGGTCAGGACTCTGACTGGGCCACTCCAGAAGGCGTATTCTGTGCTGTTGCAGCCATTGTTTTGTTGAATGACTTGTATGCTTTGGGTCATTGTCCTGTTGCATCACCCATCCTCTGCGGAGCTTCAGTTGCATTACAAGTTTCAGCAAGTCAGTAAATCAGAGCGAGCCCACCTGATTTCCTGGCATGAGGCTGCCCAGCATCATATAGGCCTTTCAATAATGCAGGCTCAGCAACATGTGTGGGCATTACCTAGGGGGGTCTGCATGCAAACATAGCCTGCCTAGGTATGCCCACTCCTCCAGACTAACACCCACCCATCAAGGCATTTTTATATTTGCATAACTCCTCCCAAAAGTCAGCTTACGGCTTCTGTTCTGTATGAAATGCTGCTTTATGCCTTGACGTACCTCCACAGACCTAATTCAGCCTGGACAGTATGCGTGACTTGGCACCATTCACAAGCAGTTTAAGTGTCCTTTCACATGGGTGGTTTGTTTTTTTCTTCAGATCAGTCACGTTTTTTTCAAAGAATAAACGGTTGAGTTTACATTATCCATTTTTCATTCGTTTACATCCTTTTTTATCTGTTTACATTGGTCTACATCCGTTTAGGTCCATTTACATCCGTTTTTCATCCGTTTAGATCCATTTACATCCATTTTTCAACCATTTGTCTGTTTTTTCATCTGTTTACATTGTCATCCGTTTACATCAGTTTTTTTCATCCATCCTAGATTGTAAGCTCGAAAGAGCAGGGCCCTTGACCCCTCGTGTTTTGTATTGTTACTGTATTGTCTCATGTTCTGTCCCCCACTATAATGTACAGCGCTGAGCAAACCTTTTAGCGCTATATAAATACTGTATAATAATAATAATAATTAACATCCCTTTTTTTTTTCATCCGTTTTACATCCAGTTTTTTCATCTGTTTACATCCTTTTTTAATCTGTTTACATTGGTTTACATCCGTTTTAACATCTGTTTACATCCATTTTTTTAATCCCTTTACATCCTTTTTTTTATCAGTTTACATCTGTTTAGATCCATTTAAATCTGTTTTTCATTCATTTTTGTCCGTTTTCATCTGCTTACATCCGTTTATGGTCTGTTTACATCCATTGACATCCGTTTTTTTGTCTGTTCCATTATTTTTTGCGGAAGAAAAATAGGGCTTCTGTTCAAAAAAAACGGATGTTAACGGATGCGGACATTAACGGATGTAAAAAAGATGTTCATCCGTTTACATTTTTTTTTTGCTCCGTTTACATCTATTTTTCATCTGTTTACATTGGTTTACATCCTTTTTTACCTGTCTGTTTACATCCATTTTTTCATCTGTTTACAACCGTTTTTTCATCCGTTTTTGGTCCTTTTTTCATCCGTTCCATTATTTTTTGCAGCAGAAAAATAGGGTTTTCTTCCATTCAAAAAAATGGATGTTAACAGATGCGGACATTAACGGATTTAAACAGATGAAAAACGGACAAACGGAACGCCCGTGTGAAAGAGGCCTAGCTCTTTTTTACTTCAGCTAATTGTAGTACAAAGGATGTTTTTCCAGTCTGTTATGCAGGCCATAGACGGGTCGAAAACCGGCTGCTTTTAAAAAAAAAAAAAAAAAAAAAAAAATGAAAAATCGGTCGTTCAACAGGCCGATTTTTGTCCCGCCTGCATTTAATTACTTCTGTCCCTTGCAGAGAGCTACACTATTATATTTGACATTAAAAAGTATTGCGGTTGCAACATTGTATCTATTTGTATCCATTTCAGATACAGATGTTTTTATTCAGATACAAATAGACACATTGTTGCAACCGCAATACTTTTTCATGTCAATTATAATAGCAACTGGAATTCTTCTTCCTCTTCTTCTTGTTCCTCTTCTTCTTCTTGTTCCTCTTCTTCTTCTTGTTCCTCTTCTTGTTCCTCTTCTTCTTCTTGTTCCTCTTCTTCTTCTTGTTCCTCTTCTTCTTCCTCTTCTTCTTCCTCTTCTTCTTCTTGTTCCTCTTCTTCTTCTTTTTCCTCTTCTTCTTTTTCCTCTTCTTCTTCTCCTTCCTCTTCTTCTTCTTCTCCTTCCTCTTCTTCTTCTTCTCCTTCCTCTTCTTCCTCTTTTTCTTCTTCCTCTTCCGCCTCTTCTTCTTCTCCTTCCTCTTCTTCTTCTTCTCCTTCCTCTTCTTCTCCTTCTCCCTCTTCCTCTTCTCCTTCTCCCTCTTCCAATTTGCCCATCATTGCCACGAAAATCGGCCGATTTTTTTCCAACTTTACCGATTAAAAAAATGTGCCAAAATCCAGAAAAATGGCCGACCAATTAACCCATTAATGGTGCAAAAATTGACTGATTTTTTTTTTTTTATTTCGGCTGAAAAATCAGCAGATTTTCAACCCATCTATAGCCGGCATTAAAGTGTAAGAAGACAGTGACTTCCCTAAGCCCTGCATCTGCAAAGTACTAACACTGATTGAGGGAACATAAAAGAAAGAGAGAGAATCTAGCTAGGGCTGAACTAACTAGCACTAAACAGGAGGTTAGGACAGAGGGAACTACCATATCCAACAAGTTGTTTGTAAACATGTTGTAGTGGCACTAACTAGCCACTAGCTATCGCCAGCTACCAATCTTTAGTGGGGACCAAGTGCTATCTTTCACAGCTCAGTTGGCGCACTTTTAGAACAGAAACATCGTCCGCCCAGGGACACATGTATGCGCAGTGTGGGTGTTAGCGATCACCCTGTAGCTGCTGCACACGTTTGTTAGCTGGTCATACAGGGGTTACGGTTTCACTTTGTAGGACGTGAGCGGATCTGTGTGATGATACAGACTGGAACGTTTTGTAACTTTGATGTCTTCTTTCTCTAGTGCCTTGGATGTGCTCAGGTACAATGGAGTGGAATCTGGTGCTCTCTTCACAGTGTTTCCTGAATCTCTGAAAAAATTCAGCGAAAGGCCAGACATAGCTCAGCGGCTAAAGATAGAAGGTGAGCATAAAGATGGCCTCCAGTCTTGTGCAGTTGTACCGGCTTCTCTCCTGAAATGGCTTACTCTGATTTCACTGCACACTGTGAGCTTCTCACAATGTGCATTAGAAACTGCAGCAAGTCAGAGCCTGTCTTATTTCCTATCAGGGGGACCTCCAGCATTATCTAGATCTTTCCTCCTCAGCCTGACTGTCCCTGGACCGCACCTTTCATTCATTAAATGTTCTTTCAGTTTTGCATGTGGATGTTACCTATGGTGTTCTGCCTATAGATGCAGCTCCATAAAAGAACAAAGTTTTGGGTGCAGTTTGGTTTGATGTCCATTGTTTAGTAGTCATTAAGTAAACTTTTTTTTCTGATTTTAATCTTTTTAGCCCTATATGAAGTGCACATCGCTGTCCAGAAGAAGGATATCGCCGAAATTCGGAAAGATGAGTCTTTGACGTTGCCAGAGGATTTGGATTACATGAGCCTAGATACTGGCTTGTCTATTGAAGTTCGAGAGAAACTGACTCAAAGTCGGCCTGAAACGGTAAGTCAGACTTCCTTAACCTGTGGCGGGATTGGCTCTTGAACATGTGACCACTGTGACAGCCAGTGGTCACGTGATCCTTCCCATCCCCTGGAATTTCAGAACTTAGCCACTTGCCCTCCGGAGGATTTAACCCCCCCTTCCTGACCAGGCCATTTTTTTGCGATACGGCTTTGCATTACTTTAACTGACAATTGCACGGTCATGCAATGCTGCACCCAAATTAAATTTACGTCCTTTTTTTTTTTTTTCTCCACGAATAGAGCTTTCTTTTGGTGGTGATCGCCTGTGCGATTTTTAGTTTTTGTGCTATAAAGAAAAAAAAGACTGACCATTTTGAGAAAAAAACTATTTTTGACTTTTTGCTATTAAACATGTCCAGTAAAAAAATGAAAAAAATCTAATTTCCTCATAAATTTAAGCTTGAATGTATTCTGCTCCATGTCTTTGCTAAAAAAAAAAAAAAAAAAAAAACACAACACATGTAAATTGGTTTACGTGAAAGTTATAGTATCTACAAATGGCGGTATAGATACTGTATTTTTTTTTTTTTTACCTGTAATGGCAGCAATCAGCGACTTATAACGGGACTGCAGCGGGCATACGGACACTGGGGGGGAGCTGACTTGGTGCCAGTGACATCCTCAGTGACACCAATACAGTGATCAGTGCTAATAAAAAGCATTGACACTGTACTAATGGCACTGGGTATGAAAGGGTTAATGTAAAGCCATCAAAGGGTTAATTACCGTATTTGCCGGCGTATAAGACGACTGGGCGTATAAGACGACCCCCCTACTTTTCCTGCTAAAATGTAGTGTTTGGGCTATACTCGCCGTATAAGACTACCCCTCTTCCAATGCACACCAGTGGGAGGAATAGTGCCCCATCATTGATGTCAGTGGGAGGAATAGTGCCCCATCATTGATGTCAGTGGGAGGAATAGTGCCCCATCATTGGTATCAGTGGGGGGAATAGGTGCCCCATCATTGGTATCAGTGGGAGGAATAGTGCCCCATCATTGGTATCAGTGGGAGGAATAGTGCCCCATCATTGATGTCAGTGGGAGGAATAGTGCCCCATCATTGGTATCAGTGGGGGGAATAGGTGCCCCATCATTGGTATCAGTGGGAGGAATAGTGCCCCATCATTGGTATCAGTGGGAGGAATAGTGCCCCATCATTGGTATCAGTGGGAGGAATAGTGCCCCATCATTGATGTCAGTGGGAGGAATAGTGCCCCATCATTGGTATCAGTGGGGGGAATAGGTGCCCCATCATTGGTATCAGTGGGAGGAATAGTGCCCCATCATTGGTATCAGTGGGAGGAATAGTGCCCCATCATTGGTATCAGTGGGAGGAATAGTGCCCCATCATTGGTATCAGTGGGGGGAATAGGTGCCCCATCATTGGTATCAGTGGCAGGAATAGTGCCCCATCATTGGTGTCAGTGGGAGGAATGGTGTCCCATCATTGGTGTCAGTGAGGGGTGGAATAGTGCCCCATCATTGGTGTCAGTGGGGGGAGGAATAGTGCCCCATCGTTGGTGTCAGTGGGGGGGGGAATAGTGCCCCATCGTTGGTGTCAGTGGGGGGGAGGAATAGTGCCCCATCGTTGGTGTCAGTGGGAGGAATAGTGCCCCATCGATGGTATCAGTGGGAGGAATAGTGCCCCATCATTGGTATCAGTGACACCAATGATGGGGCACTATTCCTCCCACTGACACTTGCTGACCCTGTTCTAGTACGGTGCTGCTGCAGCCAGCATATGTGGTTGCAGCAGCACCTCTACACACAGCACTTACCTGCTGCTCCGGCACTCAATTTTCGCGGGGCCGCTCGGCTCCGCCCCCTCGCCGGTGATTGGCCGCCTGTGTGCCTTTCCTGAGCTACAGTTCTGGCGGCCAATCACCGGTGAGGAGGCGGAGCCGCGCAGCCGCACGAACATCCAGTGGCCGAACTGAAGGAGACGCTGCGCTTCCTGGACCGGATCGTCGTGGGACTGGATCCAGGTAAGAGACGTCAGCCCCTGCAAACCCCTGTACTTAATGCCGCAGCCCCCCTAACATGTGTACCGGCGTATAAGACGACCCCCGACTTTTGAGAAGATTTTCAAGGGTCAAAAAGTCGTCTTATACGCCGGCAAATACGGTATGTGCCATTTTATAATGTGTGCTGTGTTTGTGCTTCACTGTAAGCACACTGCTTTGCATGGCTTTGCATTTGTATTAGCAATCATGTGTTAAAAAAAAAAAAAGAAAAATCCTGATCACTTGCCCAGAGTAGTTCGATGTTACTATGGTAACATTGTATTGCTTTGGTCACAGTGTGCGGAAAAAAAAATAGTAAAAAAAAGAAAACATAATGTAATAAAAAATGATTCCTAATATCCATGAATTACATTCGTATTCGCCATCATAATGTGTTAAAAAAAATCCTTATCACTTGCCCAGAGTAGTTCAATGTTACTATGGTAGCACTGTATTGCTTTGGTCACAGTGTGCGGGAAAAAAAAATAGTAAAAAAAAGAAAACATAATGTAATAAAAAAAAAAAAAAAAAAAGATTTTTGAAAAAAAAAATACAAATTAAATTATTATTATTTTCACCAAAGAAATGTAGCAGAATACATTTTGACCTAAATATATGAAGAAATTGTATTTATTTGCAAAATTTTAAAACAGAAACGAAAAAAGTGCAGTTTTTTTCCACGTTTCAGGGTTTTTTGTTTTATTTAGTAAAAAATAAAAAAAACTCAGTGGTGATTAAATACCATCAGAAGAAAGCTCTATTTGTCTGGAAAAAAATGATAAAAATTTCATATGGGTACAGTGTTGCATGACCGTGCAATTGTCATTCAAAGTGCGGCAGCGGTGAAAATTGGCCTGGGCAGGAAGGGGGTAAAAGTGCCCGGTATTGAAGTGGTTAATAAACATGAGAAGCATGTTCAGTGTTAGAGCTCATTTACCTGATGATCCTGCCACAAAGGTCCTTGTTCAGACTCTTCCTGTTAGGCACCTTTGACAGGGAGTGGACTCGTCTTGCTCAGTGGAGAATGTTTGCTGCTCCCCCTACTGAGCAGAGTGCAGCGAGCGGATGACACAGCCCACTCTGCTCTATAGACAGTTGGTTGTAAAGGGACTGGCTATCTGTTTACACCTGGCTCTCCTCTGATCCAATCTGCCCAGACAGAGGGGAACGGATCCCCTTCCACTTTTTTTTTTTTTTTTTTTTTTTAAATCTGATTGGAGGTAGGTGGGTGTAATCAGACAAGAGTCTGTTTACATCTTCCACTCCATAGAGATGAATGGAGGGTCTAATTGGGTCCACAAGAAAAACTGACAGGTGGATGGACCAATTGTGTTGAAGGGCCTTATGTGGTGACAGCTGTCTCCTGGTTGAGACTAAAAGGGGCAGTTCTGACACACAGTGCACAGAGCAATGATGTGCAGCTGACCGCATGTGCATGTACCCATCACGGGGGTGCAGGAGCAAGTTGCCAGCAGAGCAGCTGGGCTCTGTGAAGGTCCTGGCCAGTTATCGGGGTGATCCCGGATTCCCGGCACAGTGACAGCTGCCCCCGGTGTAGCGGTAAAATGAGTATCCCGTGAAGATATGTATCCCCGGAAGCAACTGCGCATGTGTCCACTTTCAGGTCGAAGAAGCCGATCTTTGACTTTAGCACAGAGCTGCCACAATTAACCCCTTACAGGCTGCAAACTGCTGAAGCTGATCCCGCGGATCACTATGGGTGGCAAGATCAGTTAACCCCATATAGGTTGAACCTATACAGGGTTAACTGATCTTGCAACCCCTAGTGATCCGCGGGATCAGCTTCAGCGGCTTGCTGCCTGTAAGGGGTTAATTGTGGCAACTCTGTTCTAAAGTCGGAGATCGGCTTCTTCAGCCTGAAACCGGCACATTGCTTCAGGGTATCCATATCTTCACGGGATACTCATTTTACCGCTACACAAGCACAGCTCCTTCCTCTCTAGAGGGGTGACACCATGTGTTACCGCAGCGGGATGCCTCTGGGCAGGTCACACGATCACCGGTCCTTCCCACCCCTGGGCTTTCAGAACTGTTTAAAGGGATGCTGGGATGGGTGAGAAGGAGGTTGACGTCATCCAGGTACAGTTTGATCTACTTTAACCTTTAAAAGAAAGTCAAGTGTTAACTTTTAGGGTGAACCTAATAAACATGAATGGTCTGAAATGAGGAGATAAGACTGAATTAAACTCTCTTTATAGATCGGAGCAGCTTCTCGCATTCAAGGAATGACACCGGCCGCCATATTGAATTTACTTCGTTATGTCAAATACAGCAACCGGCGCGTGAATAAACCAAGGCCGTATGTGGAAAGAGGACCTGTCGTAGAAACCGACACTCTCCAGCAACACCAAGTATAGCAAACAACCAAAGAACTGGTCTACAGGCTGTTACATGTACTGGGGAGGTTACTGGGAGCTGTGGGAGGGCCTTATCCCCGTAAGTTGTTGCTGCAGCACCAATTACTGGGAGTGTTTTTCTGTAATATAGAATATAGTTGAATATTCACTTTAAGCTTTGTTCATGTATGAAAACACACACAAAAATAAATTGCACCTAGCGAGAGTGCGTCCTTCACTGGAGGTAGGAGACTCCGGCTTCAATGGGAAAAATGTATATCCTTGCGGGCAGGGTTTACTGTTATATATACTATAAATAGAAGAACAGCGGTCATTTCGATTTGCTTCTAATAAAATATTGTTCTGTTTAGCATGTGTATCCTTTATTTTGGGAATGTCATGAAATTGCCACCATTTTAGAGAAAAACAAAATCCACAAAAAAGAGTTTTTCTACTTACAGGCGTAGCTCGGTTTACGAACGCCTCGGTTAACGTAATTTTCGGTTTGCGAATGAAAATTCATTTAAAATAATCGGTTTACAATTTTTTTTTGCAACGCGAAGCGTTTATAGTGCCGGCCCCGTGCCTTTTAAAGTGCACTTTTTTAGAAGGGGTTTTGAACAGATAAGATTTTTTTTTTCACTTTTTTCTGATTTTCTGACCTCCGGAATGGATTAATTGGTTTTCTTTTACAAAGAGCTTTATTGAATATTAAGCAAAGATAAACAGACATTCGGAACATAGATTCAATGAGCAACAATCATAAATTGTATTGGGAGAGGGGAAGCTAGTTCAAGGCATGCATTGATGAAGGCATAAGCTGAAAGGTTTACATAGGTGCCCTGTAAGAAAGGATGGGGGAAGGGGTTGGAAAGGAACGATTAACAAACCTTTGTGGGTCAATGATAATATAAACTCTAAAGGGGAGTTTTGCTACATCAACATTATAGAAAACAGGAAAGGCACGAGGAGAGGCCTCTCCAAAAAATGATACATGTTCAAAACCTAGAGTTTATAAAGGAATCTAGGGATTAATTGGTTTTCAATGCATTTACTAATTTTTATTTTTTTTTTAATCATGTCCCTGTACAGTACTATGCCTTTAAAGTGCACTTTATAAAGAGTTTTGAACAGATTAACTTTTTTACTTTTTTTCTGACCTCTGAAATGGATTACCGGTAATTGGTTTTCAATGCATTTACAAATTAATTTTTTATCATGTCCCTGTACAGTATTTATGACTTTAAAGTGCACTTTATAAAGAGTTCTTAACAGATAAAATACTTTTTTTTTTCTTTTTTACTGACCTCCGGAATGGATTAATTGGTTTTCAATGCATTCCTATGGGAAACCGCATTTTGGTTTACAAATTTTTTGCAATACGAAACATCCCGCAGAACACATTAAATTCCTAAACCGAGGTACGTCTGTACTTGTATTTTGCCCTGTATCGGAACCGACCAGTCTGCGCTTGGGTACTTCCGTTATAATACCGCTTCCCCATCCGAACACCAACCACAGGCACCACAGCCAACCAAACAAGACTAGAGGACACCAGTCTGTCTGAACATGGAACTCTTTATTTGAAACTCAAACTGGCTTTTTATACACTTGGGGCAATCCCCCCTCCCTGCATAATGACACAGGGCGGGTCAATCTACATTTAGCAACATTTAGCAACAAGAGACACACAGGTATTCAAACTTCACACCAGCAGACAGTCCCATCAGGAGGGAAGGCTGCTGGAGACACCCCCCCCCCATAGCTAATACACATAAACACATACATCCCATAATAGTTTGCTCCCGAGCCAGACACACATAAGAACAATGGGATGCAACCACATAACACCAAACAATCTACAGCCCTCCACCCCAATATTAGGACAGATCGCCGTGTACCCCTAACAGGCACAGGGTGACTTACACATAAGAGGGATATGGGGAGCTGAGACAGGGTTCTCCCCACCTCTCTAAAGTGAGCTGGGTTCCATGGGCCCCCCACCCAAAGTGACTCCAGTCACATGCCCCATTTGTGGAATCTCACTCACCCTATCGTGACTGGGGCAAAGCAGGACTTCACCTTTCCATGCCAAGTTAATAACCAGATTCAACACACTACCCAGCTTTGCAACAAGAGAAATACCTTGTCCCAAAGATAGTCCGTTGGGGGGAAAAAGTTTCCAGGATTGTTGGGAGGCCTGGCAAGTGCAAGAACTCTTGGATAGCTTAGCCTGGAAGCCACCCTCTCACTTCTGTGGTGGACAGCTTGGTTCAGTGGCTGTCCATTCACTTCTGTGCTGGACAGCATGGATTAGCGGCTATCCACTTCTATGGTGGACAGCTTGGTTCCACAACCACGCTTTCACTTCTATGGTGGATAGCTTGGTTCCACAACCACGCTTTCACTTCTATGGTGGACAGCTTGGTCCCACAAACACGCTTTCACTTGTATGGTGGACAGCTTTGTTGCACAGATGCTCATTCATTTCTGAGGTAGAAAGCTTAGCTCAGTGGTTGTCCATTCACTTGATCTTGCAGTTACTCATTCACTTCTTTGGAGGACAGCTTGGTTCTTCAGCTAGTCATTCACTTCTTTGGTGGACAGCTTGGTTCTGCAGTCACTCATTTACTTCTGTGGTAAACAGCTTGGTTCTGCAGTCACTCAATCACTTCTCTGGCAGACATCTTGGTTCTGCAGTTACTCATTCACGTCTATGGTGGACAGCTTTGCTCTGCACTCACTCATTTACATCTGTGGTGACCAGCTTGGCTGCACAATTGTCTATTCACTTCTATGGTAGACCGCTTAGCTCAGTAGCTGTCCATTCACTTCTATGGTGGACAGCTTGACTTGGAGGGTGGACACTTCTATGACAGATAGCTTGACTGGAGGCAGACCATACAGTTTTTTTGTGGTGGACACCTTGACCTGGAGGCTAGACACTCCTATGGTGGACAGCTTGACCTGGAGGCTGCTCATTCACTTCTATGATGGACAGCTTGACCTGGACTCTGCTCATTCACTTTTATATTGGACAGCTTGATCTGGAAGCTGCCCATACACATTTCTAAAATGGACAGCTTGATCTGGAGGTTGCCCAATCACTTCTATGATGAACAGCTTGACCTGGAGGCTGCCCAGTCACTTCTGTGATGAACAGCTTGACCTGGAGGTTGCCTCACTAGCCGTTGCACACTAGCCAGTGTTCCCTTTACTGGACCCTTAGCTGACTATATATCACATCAGGGGGAGGTTAACAGCAACAGTCTATGACAGGGGTGTCAAACTGGCAGCCCTCCAGATCTTGCGAAACTGCAAGCCCCACCATGCGTCTGCCTTTGGGAGTCATGCTTGTGACTGTCAGTCTTGCAATGCCTCATGGGACTTGTAGTTTGGCAACAGCTGGAAGGCCGCCAGTTTGCCACCCGTGATATAGAGTGTAGCGCTGCTCCCGTAGGAGCCTCTTTAATACCGTCCATGTCCTTCCCCAAACTTTGCCCTTGCAGCCAGTCACAAAGTATTTTCTACATCTAGGTACACACACACTTTTGCTCATTGTTGTCACTGATCAGTCTAGGGTTGTTGTTTTTGCAGTTTTATTGTTAGAGAACTTGGGTAGGGATGGGGGATTCGTGAGATACTTCAAGAACAGAACTATAGACAACAAGGACTCTATCTGATCTCTTAGTCAAGCTTTAAGTGAAGTCCTGGCTGTAAACAGGTAAAAGACTTCTCCTTTGCAGCAGCAATATCAGTAACTTCAGGTTAGAGCAAAGTCCCTTGCAGCAAATCGTAAATGATGAAAGTTCTCCAGGACACTAGCCGCCGGAGTTCCCGACTGCACCCTTACCGGACTATATATCACGTCAGGGGAAGGTTAACAGCAACAGTCTATGACGGGTGTCCAAGTGGTGGTCCTCCAGCTGTTGCGAAACTACAAGTCCCATCATGCCTCTACCTTTGGAAGTCATGCTTGTAACTGTCAGTCTTGCAATGCCTTATGGGACTTGTAGTTTGGCAACAGCTGGAAGGCCGCCAGTTTGACACCTGTGATGTACAGGCCTAGTGTACCCACCCACATTCACTACAATTCCCTGTGGTTGATGGGAAATGTAGTTTCCTTTTACTGTGTAGAGAGAGGAGAGGATATAATGTCATCCCGACTCTTACACCGCCTCCTGGTCAGAGAAGATGCTGTTATCTTTTGAATTACAGAGATGAGGTCATGATAATTCAATTACTCTTTTCTCTTCAATGGTAAGGAATTTACTTTGGGAGTCATGCTTGTAACTCAATCTTGCGATGCCTCATGGGACTTTGGCAACAGCCGGAGGGCCACCTGTGGTCTATGAGATCCTTAAGTTGTCTGTACTCATAAGGCCCGAAAGAGCAGCCGGTAGCCTCTTCTCCATGATACCAGGCCAGATCCTCAGTAGACACCCCCCTCAGCCAACTTTCTGAAGAACTACGGTCACTCCTCTCTTGCTGTAGCGCCGTCAATTTACACAGCACTTTACATTCACATCAGTCCCTAACCCTCAAGGGGTGTACAATCTAAGGTCCCTAACTCACATTCATATATACACATACTAGGGCCAGTATAGACCAGATCCAATTCACCTAGCAGCATGTCTTTGGAGTGTGGGAGGTAACCGGAAGAAACCCACGCAGGCACAGGGAGAACATGCAAACTCCAGGAAGGTGGTGCTGTGGTTGGGATTCAAACCAACGACCCTAGTACTGCCAGGTGGAAGTGCTAACCATGTAGCCACTGTGCTGCCCTACCCACTTGAGGTCACATGGCAGCAGGTGCCTGGGGGAGGCAACGTGCCTTCCCCCTCCCCAGGCTGGTACAATCCTCTCCAAAAACAACCCAGATCTCGTGTGCCCAAAGAATAAATACCCTTTCCCAGAATCCTCCAGGTCTGCACTCCCTGGGATTGGCTGGAGCCTTATTTACTCGGTGTAACATCATCTTTTACATTTCACCAAAACTTGGGTTATGTTTTGTGTTTTTGGGGTTTTTTTACATTATAATTTAACCGCCTCCCACCTGCCATATAAGGTAATGACGGACGCAAGGTGGTTCTCTCATTCTGGGAGGACGTCATATGACGTCCTCCCATTCTAACCGCGCATGCACGGCTCTGGGGGTGCGCAGCGCGACAATCGGCGGTGCGCTGCTTCCCTCGGACACAGCGGATCACCAATCAACGGAAAGAGCTGGAGATATCGGCTCGGTCATGTGATCAGCTTTGTCCAATCACAGCTGATCACATGTAAACAGGGAAATGCCAGTTATCTGCATTTCTCTCCTCACGAGTTGTCACGCTGACAGAGGAGAGCCAGTAATCGGCATTCCTCAGAGGAGACGTGCACTGATCATCAGTGTAGCTTCAGCAGTGCCACCTGTCAGTGCCCATCAATGCCACATATCAGTGCCCATCTGAGCTGCCTTTCAGTGTCACCTATCAGTTCCAGTCAGTGCCGCCTATCAGTGCCATATATGAGTGCTGCCTTTCAATGCCCATCAGTGCCACATACCAGTGCCTCCTCATCAGTGCCCACCAGTGCCTCCTCATCAGTGCCCACCAGTGCCACCTACCAGTGCCCATCACTGCAGCCTCATTAGCGCACATCAGTGAAGGAGAAAAATCACTTATTTACAAAACTGTATAACAAAAACTAAGAAAAAAACATTTTTATTTTTAATTCTTAGTTGTTTTTGGTTTGTTTAGCAAAAAAAATAAAAACCCTGAGGTGATTAAATATACCACCAAAATAAAGCTCTATCTGTCTCAAAAAAAAGATAAAAATGTCATTTGGGTACAGTGTTGCATGACCGCGCAATTGTCATTCAAAGTGTGACAGCGCTGAAAGCTGGAAATTGGCCTGGATAGGAAGAGGGTATAAGTGCCCAGTAGGCGAGTGGTTAAAAAAGTGTATTTTCCCCCTAAAAATGCGTTTTAAAGAACCCCGCAGCGCAAATATATTACATAAAAAATGGCAGCACCCACCCATGTATTCTCCAGGGCCTCTTCCTTTATATATATATATAATGTTTGGGGTTCTAAGACATTTTGAAGCAAAACTCTACCGATTGTGTCATGTAACGGGAAAGGCCTTGAAGGGGTTACAACGTACAATCCTTCCAATACATGAAATGACCCCAAAGCACCGACCTCACGGCAGCTCCTACCTCAGACAGCCACAGAGGCCACTTCAGCCAATAGGGTGTCGAGCTTGTCCTCTGCGGCAAAGACTTATTTCCCCGCCTCCCCCTCCCTCCACCAATAAGCGGCCATTCTAGCCCTCGGCCAATCGGCATGCGGCGGGGGACCGAGCCCTTTGGCACTCACCAACTCAACGGAAGTGGGCGTACCCGGGGGGGGTGGTTCAAATTCCTCCGTCATCGGCAGCCAATGAGGAGATGGCCCGGCCTTGGGCGGCGCGTGCGCCGTGTGGCCCTCCCATTCACAGAAATGCGCAGCCGGCCTGGGAAGAAGGGGGAGGGGTCTTGTGTGCGCACTGACGTCATTAGCCGGCGGAGACCGAGACGGCACGCACGTGACCTCTCCTCCGAGCTAGTAACCGAATCATGGGAGACGGAGAGAAGCTCAACATAGACTCCATCATACAGCGCCTGCTGGAGGGTGAGTGTGGTAGAAGGGGCGGCTTCCGGTTGTGTGGGGGAGGGGAGAGCATCGCCCCTTATATTAGACACGGAGGTCTGTAGGGGGCTGTGTGAGGTATAGGGGGAGGGGCATAGCCTACCTATATCGCCTATAGGTCACTGTGTGTAATGTATGGGGGTGAGATCTATAGGTGACTAATGTATGGGTGCCTATGGGGGAGGGGACAGCCTGCTCATTATATACCCCCTATGGGGGGAGGGCCCAGCCTGCTCATTATATACCCCCTATGGGGGGAGGGCCCAGCCTGCTCAATATATACCCCCTATGGGGGGAGGGCCCAGCCTGCTCAATATATACCCCCTATGGGGGGAGGGCCCAGCCTGCTCATTATATACCCCCTATGGGGGGAGGGCACAGCCTGCTCAATATATACTCCCTATGGGGGGAGAGCCCAGCCTGCTCAATATATACCCCCTATGGGGGGAGGGCCCAGCATGCTCAATATATACCCCCTATAGGGGGAGGGCCCAGCCTGCTCATTATATACCCCCTATGGGGGGAGAGCCCAGCCCGCTCAATATATACCCCCTATGGGGGGGGAGGGCCCAGCCTGCTCAATATATACCCCCTATGGGGGGAGGGCCCAGCCTGCTCATTATATACCCCCTATGGGGGGAGAGCCCAGCCTGCTCAATATATACCCCCTATAGGGGGAGGGCCCAGCATGCTCAATATATACCCCCTATGGTGGGAGGGCACAGCCCGCTCAATATATACCCCCTATGGGGGGAGGGCACAGCCCGCTCAATATATACCCCCTATAGGGGGAGGGCCCAGCCTGCTCATTATATACCCCCTATGGTGGGAGGGCACAGCCCGCTCAATATATATCCCCTATGGGGGGAGGGCACAGCCCGCTCAATATATACCCCCTATGGGGGGAGGGCCCAGCCTGCTCATTATATACCCCCTATGGGGGGAGGGCCCAGCCTGCTCATTATATACCCCCTATGGGGGGAGGGCCCAGCCTGCTCAATATATACCCCCTATGGGGGGAGGGCCCAGCCTGCTCATTATATACCCCCTATGGGGGGAGGGCCCAGCCCGCTCAATATATACCCCCTATGGGGGGAGGGCCCAGCCCGCTCAATATATACCCCCTATGGGGGGAGGGCCCAGCCCGCTCAATATATACCCCCTATGGGGGGAGGGCCCAGCCTGCTCAATATATACCCCCTATGGGGGGAGGGCCCAGCCTGCTCAATATATACCCCCTATGGGGGGAGGGCCCAGCCTGCTCATTATATACCCCCTATGGGGGGAGGGCACAGCCTGCTCATTATAGACATATCTCCTTTAGGTGTCTAATGTATGGAATCTATATAGGGGGAGCCTTTGTATTATACATTTGTAGGTGTCTGTGTATTGTGTATGTATTAGGGTTATGCCCCCGTACCGACTTCTATGCATTAGATGTACAGCTATAGGAGATGTATGTATATAATAAGCAGACTATGCGCGCTCTCCTCCCCTTAAAGACTTCCATACATTAGTCACCTATAGATCTCTATGTATATTATAAGGATTATGCTCACCCCTCCCCCTATACCTCACACAGCCCCCTATAGAAGGCATAATATAAGAAGACTGTTCCCACCCCCCCTTAGATCTCTATACATTAAACAACTTCTTTTAAAATCTCTATATATGGGCTAAATCCCTTTTAGATTTCTGTACATGTATAGGTGTCTAATGTATAGAAATAGGTTTGGGGGCTTATCCCTTAAATATACACACACCTACAGATGTATAATACAAGGGCTTAGCCCCCATACTGATTTCTATACATTAGACACACCTATAGGAGACACGCACACACATTTTATTTATATATATTTATATACACACACACAGCCTTTGCCATTCCCTCCCCCTCTAAAGACTTCCATACATTAGACACCTATAGATCTGTGTATTATAAAGACTATCCCTCCCCCCCATATAGGTCTCCATAAATTAAATACCGTCCCCTATATGTGATATAGGTAAAATATAAGTAGGCTATGTTCACGCGTCCCCCTGATACCTCACACAGAACCCCCTATAGGGAGTGGTTCCCCTCCCCCTATAGGAGGTGTATATATATATATGTCCACCACCCCCCACCCAGATTTGTATGCATAAGGGCTAGATCCCTTGTACATTTCTATACATCTATAGGTGTCTACTGTATTGGAATCTACAGGAGGGAGCTTTAGTTTTATATTCTACATGTACCTTCTATAGGTTCCTGTGTATAATGTATAGAGAAATAAATGTGGGCATAGCCTCTATTATATATATATATATACATCTATAGGGGTATGGTGCATAGGAGTGGGCATAGCCTCTATTATATATATATACACATCTATAGGGGTATGGTGCATAGGAGTGGGCATAGCCTCTATTATATATATATATATATACACATCTATAGGGGTATGGTGCATAGGAGTGGGCATAGCCTTCTTCTGTTAGATCTCCTGTAGTGGTCTGTGTATAATGGATAGAGATCTATATGGATAATATTGGCATGGAGTGGTCTATTGAGAGGACATTATAGGAGGGGGTGTATGGGGAGGACGGTATAGGAGGGAGGGGGTGTATGGGGAGGACGGTATAGGAGGGAGGGGGTGTATGGGGGAGGACGGTATAGGAGGGAGGGGTCTGTGGGGAGGACGGTATAGGAGGGAGGGGTCTGTGGGGAGGACGGTATAGGAGGGGGGGGGTCTGTGTGGGGAGGACGGTATAGGAGGGGGGGGGGTCTGTGGGGAGGACGGTATAGGAGGGGGGGGGGGGGTCTGTGGGGAGGACGGTATAGGAGGGGGGGGGGGGTCTGTGGGGAGGACGGTATAGGAGGGGGGGGGGTCTGTGGGGAGGACGGTATAGGAGGGGGGGGTCTGTGGGGAGGAGGACGGTATAGGAGGGGGGGGTCTGTGGGGAGGAGGACGGTATAGGAGGGGGGGGTCTGTGGGGAGGAGGACGGTATAGGAGGGGGGGGTCTGTGGGGAGGAGGACGGTATAGGAGGGGGGGGGTCTGTGGGGAGGAGGACGGTATAGGAGGGGGGGGGTCTGTGGGGAGGAGGACGGTATAGGAGGGGGGGGTCTGTGGGGAGGAGGACGGTATAGGAGGGGGGGGGGTCTGTGGGGAGGAGGACGGTATAGGAGGGGGGGGGGGGTCTGTGGGGAGGAGGACGGTATAGGATGGGGGGGGGGGGGTCTGTGGGGAGGAGGACGGTATAGGATGGGGGGGGGGTCTGTGGGGAGGAGGACGGTATAGGATGGGGGGGGGGGTCTGTGGGGAGGAGGACGGTATAGGATGGGGGGGGGGGGGTCTGTGGGGAGGAGGACGGTATAGGATGGGGGGGGGGGGGTCTGTGGGGAGGAGGACGGTATAGGATGGGGGGGGGGGGGTCTGTGGGGAGGAGGACGGTATAGGATGGGGGGGGGGTCTGTGGGGAGGAGGACGGTATAGGATGGGGGGGGGGTCTGTGGGGAGGAGGACGGTATAGGAGGGGGGTCTTTGGGGATGACGGTATAGGATGGGGGGGGGTATGTGGGGAGGACGGTATAGGATGGGGGGGGGTCTGTGGGGAGGAGGACGGTATAGGATGGGGGGGGGTATGTGGGGAGGACGGTATAGGATGGGGGGGGGTCTGTGGGGGGAGGAGGACGGTATAGGAGGGGGTCTTTGGGGATGACGGTATAGGAGGGGGGTCTGAAGTAAGCCATGAACAGTCTACCTGGACCGTCTGTGTACATGCTTGTTTATTGGCTGCTGCTATGGATCTGTCTATAGGGGAATCATGTACAGCTGGAGGGTTGCTCTATGCAGGTATTTACCTTGGAACTCCTTTTCCTCTCCATACAACGTATGATGCAACCGAGAAGCTGATGTGTATCAAAGCAACGCAAACAAAAGTGAACTTTCTCCAGTTCTGTCCTCTGTTGGGGGAAATGTCTGCAGAGATGTTATGGACGCCATTCCCCATCTATATAAATATTATGACGTTCATTCCCCAACTATCTGTATGGACACTTTCCTCTCTATATTAGATGTGGTTACCAATGTAACTCTTTTGCTCCTTAATAATTACGAAGTAACAATTCAGGAAGTTCTTTATTTTTTATAAAAAGTTAACATTGTTGCAAAGTAGTATTCTAGGCTTCTATTAGTCCTCCGTAACACTGTTTTTACAGCGGCTGTTTTTGGCTCTTGGTTTTTTTTTTTTTTTTCTTCTACAGCCAGTAACCCCCCAGCATGTTATCCTATGTGTCCATACACACATTTATTTATTTCAGGTACTTGTATAGCACCGTCAATGTACGCAGCGCTTTACATATATATTGTACATTCACATCAGTCCCTAACCCTCAAGGGGCGTACAATCTAAGGGCCCTAACCCTCAAGGGGCGTACAATCTAAGGTCCCTAACCCTCAAGGGGCGTACAATCTAAGGTCCCTAACTCACATTCATACATACACATACTAGGGACAATTTAGACAGGAGCCAATTCACCTACCAGCATGTCTTTGGAGTGTGGGAGGAAACCGGAGTATCCGGAGGAAACCCACGCAGGCACAGGGAGAACATGCAAACTCCAGGCAGGTGGTGCCGTGGCTGGGATTCGAACCAACGACCCGAGTACTGCCAGGCGGAAGTGCTAACCATTTAGCCATGGTGCTGCACATAGACTGGAAGCAACGTTTTTTTTGGCAGGGGTGTTTTTTGGTTGGAAAAACCCCCAGGGCTAGTGGGTTTCTAGAGGAGTTTTTTTAGCTGTAAAAACGCTCTAACGCAGCAAACTGGCGTTTTGGACTTTTTTTGACCAAAAAAAGATTTTTTTTTTTCTATTGGTTAAAGCGCTAAAAAATGTGATAAAACTCTAAATTTATGTTAACAACGTGAGGTTTTTCACACAGCTAACGTTACCAGCGTTATTAAAATGCCCCGTGTGCGTGGAGCCATAACAAA